TCTACCTGGGACACACCTGAGGGGGCAAGACCCTGAGGGGGGAGGGGGTCTACCGGAGGAGGACCTGGTGCTAGGAAGAGCGGCGGGGGGGGGAGCGGGGCAGTGCGGTAGGGAAAGAGACGGTAGTAAGGAACCGACTCGTCAAACGTGACGTCCTGAGAGGACAGAACACGACGCGAGGTGGGGTGGTAAAACTGCCAACCAGGCGCGTCAGGGGGGAAGCCAAGGAAGACGCAGGGAATAGCACGGGAGGACAGCTTGTCCACGGAAGAATCGCGGACAAAAGCTCGAGATCCCCAGACACGGAACACAGACGCATCGCCAACCTTCCCCGTCCACCGCAGAGCAGGTGTGGTCTCCGGCATGGAGACACGGGGCTGGAGGTTGAGCTGATGCGCAGCGTACTGGACCGCGAACGGCCACAGAAAGTGGGGAGCAGCCGCATGGATCATGGATGTACAAGCGACGTCCATGACCATGCCAATGCGGCGCTCAGCAATCCCATTTTGCTGTGGGGAGGCCGGAAGCGTGAACGTCTGCGGATGCCCTCCGCACGACAGAAGGCCCGCAGAAGGTCGGAGGAAAACTCACCACCTCTGTCGGAGTGCAGACGCAGAACAGGAAGGTCCGAGCCGAAACTCTCGCTGAGCTGGCGACGGGTAGCGCGGATCCAGGTGATCAACACCTCAGTGACCTCACCCTTGTGGCGCAAGGGGAAGACTGTGGTGTAACGCGAGTAGTCGTCAACGACCAGCAGAAAGTAACGCTCGTGACCCTGTCCACGGACGCGGGCTGGGCCCCACACGTCCATGTGGAGAGTCTGCAGGGGAGCCTCCGTCGGAGGGAACTCAGAGGAGTGAGGAGCGGCGCGCTGCCGTCCCTCGACGCAAGGAACGCAGGTAGGGGCAGGCCCCGGTGGAAGGAGAGGGAGAGACCGGGGGAGACCAGAGACAAGGGTATGGGAGGCCATACCTCGGAGACGAGGCAGGGAGGGGTGACCAAGGCGGTGGTGCCAAAGGACAGTCTCGTGTGACAGAAGACGACACGAGCAGGGGGCAGACTCCGGACCAGACCTGGACGCGGCAGCAAACACCTGACCAGACTCAGTAGCCAGTGTGTACAGGCTCGACCCAGGCTGACGGGTGAACGTGGCCAGGTGGCGGCCCGTCCGAGTACACGTACAGTGGGTCACACGCTGACCTTTAGGAGTGAACTGGTCAACCCACACGTCCTGGAGGTCAGCTCCACTCACCAAGTTCGTAGAGAACGAGGGGATGTGAAGACCCGACAGTGAGCCAGACGGGACCGCCGGACACGGCAGAACCGTGGAGGAGTGCGCAAGGACTGGGCCCCCAGAGGGGTCTGCCAGGGAGACTGCAACCGGCTGACTGAGCGGCGTGAGTGTGGTGCTATCGCGAAAGAAGGAGCGCGAAGCACCTGAGTCAAGTGTGAAGGTGTGCAAGGCCTCAGCAGGCGCAGTACCAGAGAGAGCAGACTCACCAGCACCTAGAGCAGCAGACTCACAAGCACCTAGAGCAGCAGCCTCTATACCTGGGTCGGGCGGCACACACAGGTAACAGTCACCCTCAGCACTAATAGTCACAGCATACATGGCAGCAAGGATAGCATCGAAATCAATATCAAAGATAGCAACACCAGACCTAAGCAGATCACCCCAGCGAGGGAGCTCAGCGGCGTCAGGAAATTGTGCGCGCCAGGCGTCAGACAGGCGACCGAAACAGCGCTGCGTCGTGTGTGGCAGCCCGCACGTCTCCCCACGGTGCACGCTGGTGCAGAGAACGTAAGCGCAGGGACCAGCACCCCCAGACCTCCCACGCCCAGCGTACCACTCACGAAGCTGCTGGGGCGACGAGGCCTCACGGGAACGCGGCTGTTGCTGTCGCTGGCTACCACCAAAGCCTCCACGCTGCGCGACTCCACCCCGACCAGCACCACCGCCGCCGCCACCCCCACTGCCGCTGCCGCTGCCTCCACCACCTCCACCGCCGCCACCGACGCCCCCACTCCCGCCACCACCCCCACCTCCACCCCCACCCTCTCCGCCTCCTCCACCGCCACCACCGCCGCCCCCGCCGTCCCCTCCACCACCCTTGCCCCCCTTGCCCTTGCCGCTGCGGCGCCTCCCACTAGGAGCAGACGCAGCCCCGACCTCCTCGGTGCCAACGAGGTCGACAGCAGCAGCAGAAGCAACAGAGGGCAAAAGGGGGACGGGGAAACACCCCTCAAAGAAAGGGGCGCGAGGGTCGCCGCGAGAAGCTCCTACAGCGACTATGCTAGTCTCAGTTGCAGTGAGGCGCTCCTCGAGCAGGTCAACGGTGAGCTCGGTGGGGCAAAGGGAGAGAAAGTGGTCCCTGACTGAGCGAAGAGAGCCAGGGAGACGGGTGACGAGGTAGAAGAGGGTGATGTACATGAGGGGGGGGGGGGGTTCTTGGCGCGAAACTCGGAGGGAAGCACTGCGCGGTAGCGGGTGCACTAGTGCGGAGGTGAGTGATGAGGTCAGCTACTGTGGTAAAGGCGGCCAGGTCAGGGAACAAGTACGGCAGCATAAGGCGGCTGAGGATAGCAGTGGCAGGGGAGGAGTAGCGCGCGATGACAGCGTCATACAAAGACTTAGCAGTCTTGTACTGGCCAAAGTGCGCGCGCTCAGCAGACGGCAGGTGACTACGAACAGCAAGGCGAGCAATAGCGTTACGCGTAGTCCACTGCGAGCGAACCGTACTGTCAGCAGTGGCAGCAGGTGCAACAGAGGCGCCGGACGTGTGATCGAAAAGCGAGACTCCGTCCCTAGAGTCGCACTGAAGAAAGAGCTGCAGGTCATCTACCCAAACGTCGAAATCAACCGCACGACCCTCAGCATCGAAGGTAAGAACAGTAGGGCTAGCCATGGCGGCAGTAGCAGCAGTAGCAGCAGAAGCAGAGTAGCAGCAGTAACAGCTGTAGCAGTAGGAGCAGCGCGGGCAGGGCAGCGCGGCTCAGTAGGGCAGGGCGGCGCGGCTCGGCAGAGCGGCGCGGCTCGGCAGAGCGGCGCGACTCGGCTGGGCGGCGCGGCTCGGCTGGGCGGCGCGGCTCGGCTGGGCGGCGCGGCTCGGCAGGCAGGTATGCGGGTAGCGCGGGTGGGGCAGGTGCTCACCAGGGGCGGGTAGGGCAGGTGCCACCGGCGGCGGGTAGGGCAGGCGCGCGACTGGCGCGGGTAGGGCAGGCGCCCGACGGGCGGCTGCAGGCGCTCGACGGGAGGGTAGGGCCGGCGCTCGACGGGCGGCGGCAGGGCAGGCCCGCGACGGCGGGTAGGGCAGGGCCGCGACGGCGGGTAAGGCAAGGCCGCGACGGGCGCGTAGGGCAGGGCCGCGACGAGCAGGTAGGGCAGGGCCGCGACGGGCGGCAGAGTAGGGTAGGCGTGCGACGGCGGCTGCAGGTAGGGCGGGGCCGCGACGAGCGGCTGAGGGCAGGGCCGCGACGGGTGGCGGCAGGGCAGGGCCGCGACAGGCGGCGAGGTAAGGGCCGCGACGGGCCGTTAGGGCAGGGCCGCGACGGGCCGGGAGGGCAGGGCCGCTACGGGCGGCAGTAGGGCAGGGCGCGCGACGGCGCAGGTAAGGCAGGCGCGAGGCGCGCTTTGGGCAGGGCAGGAAAAAAAAACCGATCGTGGTGTGCCCTAAAAAAAAACGTTCCCACTAGGGAACCTGCTCTGAAACCATGTCAGAAATAGGAAAGAAGAATGACTCGAATGACAGCAGTACAATGTTTGTATAGCAAAACCTAATTGGGCTGTACCCCATAATGAGTGCCCCACTACAGCCTAGAGCATATAAATGCATAGTTCTGACAAGCAGGTGCGGCTGGCCAAGCTGCAACCAGACATTGCTGCCGCTGCAGCACTGATGAAGCGTGAGGAGCAGGAGGAGCAGGAGAAGCAGGAGAAGGAGCATAAAGAGTGCGCGGTAGCAGGAGCAAGGGGAGGGGACTGAATACTGGTTCTGACAAGGTTCAACATACCGTACCGTACTATGGTACTGCAGCAAGGGAGGAGTGGAAGGTTTATTTTTTACATTGACAAGATTGTAGGCAGGGTAGGGCCAGGTTACGGTAGCTACCGCTGAGTGTCTAGCTTCGTGTGGCATGTTCATTATTTCTCATGTGCTTCCTTCTTGTAAATGCGATATCCTTATTCTTGGTCTGCTTGAGTTGTGCATGGCTTCGCAAATCAGTGGCTGTCCCAGTTTTGAAGGCACTTCGGCAATCTTTTTCATCCTGTGACTTGTACCGTAATCATAGCACCTGTAACAACAAACCGCAATTCACATCGCACTTGCCAGCAGTTTGAAGTAAAGTACCGGTACACATGTCCAACCTAGTGCTAAAAAAAAACATATTCAATAGCACTCCAGGCAGACTTGCCATCGTTTGTCACTGCCATTGATACGGTACTGGTATGGTATGACGTATGGATTCATCTTTATCCAGTGTCAACTTCAGGTCAACGTACGGCAATACAAAGAAAAAAATCTTCCAGTTCTTTATTCACAATCTGTATCTTTCAAAAGGGGGCTCTATAACCAGTACGGTACTTCACAAAATAATGCAGCAGGATGCTCTGAATGTAGAGTCCACCAGAGATATGAAAGTTGCTACCTTACACGTTTCTTTTAGCCAAGCCATTTGTACTGAAGCCTTTTCGAAACCACCAGAGATTCGTAATTCCCAGGGCCACCCTGGGCTGAAGTTGACATTTTCTTGAAATCTCACTCCATCCTTTCGCTTCGCTGCACTGCGCGGCACACATTCCTTCTTTTATTCCCACTTCACGGTCAGTCAATCGTTGCGGCCAAGAGCTGACAGATCCATCGCAAGCATCAATTCGTCTCCTTTTTCAATATTTCAGGTCGCCTCAACAAGCATTCGCACGTTCTCCTTTGGATTGCGGAATCCTTCGCACAGATCTCTCACTGTCCATGGAAGAGATAGCAGCCAAGGCTAAGGAGCTTATGAAAGGATGGACCTCGCCCTTCGCGCAACAGTCCAGCTTTCAGGGCCAGGGGCGCAAGCTCGGCGGCGGGGAAGGCTCGTCCGGCGGAGCGGGGGGATCGCGCCCGCTAGGCGTTCCGCGCACGGGCGCAGCGGCGGGGCGGGCGCTGCATGAGACGGCGGAGCGACAGGAGCAGCTGCAGAAGCAGCAGAAGGAGGAGTGGCGGCAGCAGATGCATCAGCGGTGGGCGGGAGCGGGACCGCCGACGGCGCAAGGGCAAGGACAGGGGAAGGCGCCGCAGGTGCGGGAGCAGCAGCTTCCACAGCAGCCGCGTTCCCCAGGATTTACGGGGGGAGGTGGGCCCGGCGCCGGTGCTGGCGCCGGTGCTGGCGCTGGCGCGGGTGCTGGCGCGGGTGCGGGTGCTGGTGCGGGTGCTGGTGCTGGCGCGGGTGCTGGTGCTGGCGCGGGTGCGGGTGTGGGTGCCGGCGCTGGCGCTGGCGCTGGTGCTGGTGCTTGGGGAGCCGCTGCGTCGTCTGGTATGGTGCGTGCCACGTGTCCTGTACGCTCAGTATTTTCGGGCAGCGAAGCTGACGTGGCAGCACACGTGGACGAATGTTTGACACGAGGACTGGAGCGCTCCACTGCCGCAGACGAAGCGGGAGCAGCGCCGACGCAGGCACAGACAGCAGCGCAGACAGCAGCGCAGACAGCAGCAGAAGCAGCAGCCGAGGCTGCATCAGGAGAAGCAGCTCGACAAGAGTCAGCTTTAGCAGACCAGCAGGTAGGAGCCAGTGTGGGTGGAGCAACCGAATCAGCAGCGTTGTCTGCACCAGCAGCCGCAGCAGCAGCAGCATCAAGAGGGGCACTGCAAGCTATGTCTGCACACAACCCGGACCAATTGTTGACGGGCGAACACAACCCCACTGGCACGGATACATATACGGATACGGGCGCTCACGATGATGCTCTGGAGTCGGTACATCACGCTGCTGCTGTCGTGCTCTCTGCCAGCCCCCCAGCAGCCACTCTTGACATCCTTACCCGTATCCTACGTAACATTGTAACTGATCCTGGTAACCCGAAGTTCAAGCGCATTCGCCTGGGCAACCCGCGGATTGCGGATACTGTTGGCAAGGCAGCAGGGGCAATGGATTTGCTGCGGTCTGTGGGGTTTGAGATGGTGGAAGAGGCGGTGGAAGGCGGTGCAGCCGGGGGGGGTGCGGTGGCAGGAGGTGTGGATCAGTGGGCAGTGATGACGAATGTGAGGCTGGAGCTGGTGAGTGAGGCTGTGGCAGTGCTCACAGCCGTGGGAGGGCAGAGTAGTGCTCCAGCTGGTTCTGTAGCTGGTGTTGCGGGAGGGAGTGCTGGTGCTACACCTGCTGCTGCAACAGCCTCTCCGACGGCAGCGGAGGGTGAAGAGCAGGAGGCAGTGGCACCCATGCCCAAGATTGACCGGCAGGTATGGAATGGGTGAATACAATGGGGTTGTGCATGATGGGATTTCGTTGTATGGGTCACATCAGCAGATGAGACATGCAATTGTTGAGATCATACTCGGTTTCTTTCCTCCTCTCAGCTCTCACCTTCTCGCATCCTGCCCCGGATCCTTTTCCCTGCACTTCCCTCCCCCACATCACCCGCTTCTCTCCCCCGCCCTGCATCCCTCTCTGTACTCCTCCCCACCCCACACCACCCCTTTCCTCCAACGCCAGGTGCGGGTCTTCCTGTCTACGGAGGAGAACAAGGCGGCGCGCATCGAGGTGCCGGACTCATTCTTCGACCGCACGGCAGAGGACGTGCGGCAGGCAGGGGTCCGATCAGAAACAGCCTTTCACCCCGCAACCCTCCTTGAACTCCCCCTCCCCCCATCCCGCCCCGCATCCTTTTCCCTGCACTCCCCTCCCTGTTTCCCTTCCCCCCTGCATCCCTCCCCACACACCCCCATGCGCATTGCCCAACGCCAGGTGCGGGTGTTCCTATCAACGGAGGAGAACAAGGCGGCGCGCATCGAGGTGCCGGACTCATTCTTCGACCGCACGGCAGAGGACGTGCGGCAGGAGGCCATGGCACGGCGCCGCGCACAGGAGGGCGCACAGCTGCTCATGACGCGCGCCATGCGCGAGAGGCAGGCCGCTGCGCTCAAGCGCCGGTACCGTGCGGCGATCGTGCGCGTCATGTTCCCTGATGGGCTTGTGCTGCAGGGCGTGTTTCGACCCAGTGAACCCACCGCTGCGCTCTATGAGGTGCGTGCGTGGATGGATGGGTGGGTGGGTGGGTGTGTGGATGCGTGTGTGGTGGGGTTTATGCATGGGAGTGGTGTGGGTGCGTGTGTGGGTGGATGCCTGACCATGCATTGGCCTTACACATAGGATGCAGTGCTTTCCCCTCCTCCCTGTCTGCTCCTTGGCTGCTGCTCCTATCACTCATTCCATCGCCCTCCCACTCCCTCGCAACCCCCCTACTATCTACCCTCCCTGGTTCTCCCCCCTCCACTCCCCTCTTCCCCCTCTCCATACCTCTCTATTATTACCACCTCTCCAGGCTCACTCCTCCCCTCTTCTCCCCTTCCCCCGCTCCCCTCCCCTTCCCCCGCTCCCCTCCCCTCTTTTCCACTCCCCTCACCTCACCTCCCTCCCCTCTCCCCTTCCCTTTCCCTCCCCCTTCCCTTCACCACCCACCCGACCACCTTCCAGTTCGTGGCAGAGGCACTCAAGGACCCGACACAGGAGTTCCAGCTGCTGCACCCCATCCCCATGGCCAACCGCTCCCAGGCAATCCCATCCATGGCAGCAGGCCCAGGAGCGCCCATGCCATCACTGGAGAAAGAGGAGCTGGTGCCGGCATCGCTCATCAAGTTCCGCCCTGTGTGCCTGGGCCCGCCAGGGTACACGGGGCTCAGGAGGGAGCTGCTGGAGCAGGCTCAGCCGATCACTGCTGTGCCGTTTCCTCCTCTGGATACGTCCGGGTAGGGACGCTGTATTTACCGACGTCTTGTTTGTGTGGTCCTTGCATGAGATTTGTTGATGGGGTTACCAAACTGACATACGGTATGTATCTGCTCCTTACAGTACCGTAACGTGATAACCATCTGTGATTACCGCATAAGGTTGTTGTGACTTATATGTACAACTTGTTCCATGCGCCACATGTTTCGCTGCATGCATAGGCTCAACAGGTGCAACTTGTTCCATGTGCCACCACATGCTTTGTTCCATGTGTTCAAGAGGTACCATACATACATCCATGTGCCTGAATCAAAGGTGAAACTTTGCTCAAAGGCTTTGCAACGACTGGAGTGCAGGCTATACAGTATTGTATGCTGAACTGTGGTATTTCCCGATGGGCACAGGTACAGCATCAATGTAAAATGCAATAAATTATTATTAACACCGACCCCCATAAATCCCAACGAAGTCAAATCCCAGAGCACACACATCTTGCAAAACCAAACAAATTTGTACGGTGGGTGCTCAACAAGGCAATCCAATTCATTCCAACCCAATCCCTTGGTTGCGAAGAGAAGCGCTGCAGGCATCTCATGGGTTGGCTTGTGCTGGGCTGCATGCATGCACCCTGTCATGCTCCATGGTACGGTATCTATCCAATTATGCCAGTAGCGGCGCCGTAAGCATTGTCCGCAATGGCTGCAAACAAGAACCACAGGAGGAACAGGAAGGATGCAGGAGGCCAAGAGCAAAAAGGTGAGCAAGCACACTTGACCGAGAAGGCAGATGACCAATTGCCAGTGAAGGTAAGGGTGGAGGAAGGATGCAGAGCAGAAGATCCTTCAATTGGAAGGTGCAGAGAGCAACACGGGGGACACAAACAAGCGCATAGAGGTGGAATGACACAGAACAGCCAAATCACCCCCCCACTTGTGCAAGAATCCACACACAGACACGCCACACCACGCCACTCACCGCGCAGCGTGCAGCCAAAGCCAGTGAAAGCGGCCGTCCCCGCGCAGCGCGACTTGGCGCAGAATGCGAACGCGCGGTCGCTGGCGTCGCGCTTGAGCGGCATGTAGCGCCTGGGGCACGCGCACACCTTGACGCCCGCCGCGTTCTCCCTGCACACCGCGCGCACGGGGCACGACGCTGCGTCCAGACAGTTGTGCGGGTCTGCAGGGGAGATGGACGAACGCATGGGGGATGGGGGAAGAAGAAGCGGGGAAGGAGGGGGGGGGGGGACGAGGAGTGGAGGGAGAGGGGGAGGGAAACGGATTAGTGGAGAACGAGAACTGAGTCGAATAAAGGAAGGAAAAGGAACTAGATTCTCAAGCCTTGCACGCGAATAAGAGGCAAACAGACTATGGCGGGCAAGAGCGAGCGAGCTAGGGAGCGAGGGGGCGAAGGAGCGAGGGAGCAACGGTGCGTTAATCCCTTTCCCCCATTGAAGTGAAAGCTCACATCGGCACGTGGCGTTCTTGCTTCCCAGTAGGCACGAGCAGCCCTTGGCGGCGCGGTTATCGCGGCAGTCGAGAGTCACGGGGCAGTTGTGGAACGCGCCCAGCGAGCACGTCCTGTGCACTGCGCGCAAGCGAAGGGGGAAAGGGGAGAACGGCGGAGGGACGGCGGCGGGATGGATGGGGGAGTGGCGGAGGGAGGGAGGCGGGGCCGTGAGGTTGGAGGAATGAGGGGATGAAAAGATAATGAGCCCAAGAAAACAAGCCAATAGCTGGATCACGAGCCACGAAGGTCGCGGAAGCGGAAGCAGGCACCATCACACCCTCGCGTTTTACCCCCTCTCTACCACGCGCTGCTACTAACCTGGAGGAGCCTTCCGCGCGGACGGAGCGGTGGAGGCGGGCGGGTGGGTGACGGTGCCCGTGACGGCGATGAACCGCGAGTCCGCCTCGAGCGACATCACCGAAATCGACGCTACCGTCACCACCGCGGCTGGCGGAGGCGGCGGCCGCGGCGGCGGGGGATTCGGCGGAGGGCTGGGCGGCTTCGGCGGGGGGCTGGGCGGCTTGGGGGGAGGGCTGGGCGGTTTGGGGGGAGGTGGCGGGAATGGGGGCGGACTGGGGGGCTTCGGCGGCGGGCTCGGTGGCTTCGGGGGGCTGGGGGGCTTCGGGGGAGGGCTTGGCGGCTTCGGGGGAGGGCTCGGCGGTTTTGGCGGAGGAGGCGGGCGGGGAGGCGGGCTCGGCGGCTTTGGCGGAGGGCTCGGCGGTTTCGGCGGCGGGCTTGGCGGCGGAGGCGGCGGCGACGGTGGCGGCGGTGCTTTGACATGGCGCTGCGCGCAGACTGTCGTGGCGAAGTAGCTCCAGCCATCAACCGTCGCAGAGAGCGTCGCGAAGCTCGCAGCTCCCGTGTCGAGCTGGCCCGTGCCGACGATTCGCACGCCATAAAGCCCCTCCGGAAGCGCGATGTACGCGGTTGGAGGACTGGGATACACCGCAACCTGTCCGCCGGAGGGGGCGGACGTAGTGTATTCAAACGCGCCGCTTGTATCGAATCCTGGATCCACGCCGGTGCCCTCTGAAAAGGGTACAAAGTCCATCGCTCCCAGGTACGCGTCGCCAGGAAGACCCGGGAAATCCGCGGCGCTCGTCACGAGAAACTCCTCCCGCATCGCGTCGACGGCGAGCGACCCGGGCATGCCAGGAGTCAGCGTGGTGGTCGTGAGCGGCGTCGCGGAGCTCGTAAGCGGCGTCGCATACGTGTACAGAATATTCGCGTCTTGTCGCAGGACTGCGACAAAAGTGCCCTGAGGAGAGCACACGGCCTCAGTCGCGGGGTAGGGAATCGAGTTAATGGCGGCGCTTGCGGGCTGGAACGCGCCCGTCGCCGCATCGAACGGCACCTCGATGATCGCATTCGCGTCGTCCGACACGCGGTGGCACGCGAAGAGCGCGGAGGCAGCGCAGAACGCGGAGGAGAGGCACTGCCACCCCGCGGGGACGATCTGAACCGTCGCGAGGGTCGTCCGGTCGATGCTGATCGCGCCGTTAGCCTCGGCGGTTCCGTCTGCGACGACGAGCATGCGCTGCGACGGGCCGCCGATGGAGATGGAGGTCGCATTCAGCGGCGTTGGATACGGCGTGCCTGCGACAGGTGCGGTGGACGTGTATTGAAGCACGTTGAGGTATTTGCCGCCCGAGGCGATATACGCGCTGCCGTCAACCGCGACGGCGCACCCGGAAAGCGCCGCGTTGTTGTTCGCGTCGGGGTTGGCGGAATCGCCGACTTGACGCGTCGTGAGCGCGTTGACCTGCCATGCCTGGTTGAAGACTTTGTCCGTTAGCGGGTCGTACACCCCACCAGCTACGATAACGACGGGTACGCCAAGTGTCGAGTACGGCTTCTGCGCTGCCGCGAGATGCGGGAAGGTAGAAGCGACTAGTAGAAGCGCGAAGAGCGGAAGGAGCGCGAAAAGAGCATCTCTTCGCGAAGAGGCGAAGAGCTGCACGTGGTGGCGAAACATGGTGGAAACTGTATTCGCGGGGAGATTAGGGACCCAGAGGGCCCCTGGGCGACTTGATAGCTGGTGGAGGCGGCAGGAGGGAGAGGCTAAGAGTTTGCTACATTCTTGCCTCGTCCCATGGCGAAAGACGTGGTGGTGGCGACTACTGAAGCCCAGTGAAGAAGGCCTGACTGGGTTTTTACTCGGTTGATGGTCGGAGGGGTAGCGAGCTTCGATAGTCTCTTCCTCGCACACCTCAACTGCAGCGCAGAGAAGCTTATCTCAACCCATTCCAACCTATCTAAAAATAGGTTAACATTTTTCAGGCGCAGTAGTCAAGCGGCGCGAGAATTGTGCCAGGAGGACAGGGGGCGGAATCTTGATTCATGATTCAGCCCACTTGACCTGGTTTGGGCAGCGAGAAACTGGAATTGAAACCGAATGGGCAGGTGAAAACCGAAAAATCTGCTCAGCAGCAGCCAGTTCCCCGCCACTGTATTGCGCGCTGGGCTGGGCTTGTGGTGGTGGTGAGAGGTGAGATGGAGTCATGGGGGTTGGGGATATGAGAGTGGCAGTGTTGCTGCGTGGTTGGGTGGGTGGAACGAATTGATAATCGTTCGTGGTCCCGCGCACAGCCTGGCGCCACCCCGAAAACAGATGGGTTTTCATGTTTCGACAGCCAATCACCGCGTGGAATTCTAGCGGGCAGCCTGCTCCAAGCGTCAACCCTGGCATGGGATGTGATGAGAGCGAGAGCTTCGGGCTAGGAGGGATGGAACTGCTGGCAGACGGGATGCAGAAAATCTTCCCTCCTACAGTACTTGCGACTCGATGTGAGGAGCTGTACAGCTTTGCCCAAGCCCAAGGCAACCAGCTTTGCGCAAGGTACAGATCCTATCACATGGCTCCAAGGCAAACAACATGCGAAGAAGTCCTGCAACCTGAAACAGAATCAAGGCACCTGAGGTGACATTTTGGAAACCGTCTGTCTGTCGTATGTCCCCTGAAAGCCTGAAACGGAATTCATATTTGGCCGTGGTACCACCATGCGGCAACGGGTCAACCGAAGAGTTGTCAAGCCTGGAAACTAACGACAATCGTGTTGACGGGATGAAGTAACGTGCATTTTTTCAGCAAGCTCCCCTCCAATCGGCCAGTCACACCACACTTGGTCTTATCTCATTACCCGCGTCGTGGTTGAAAGCATTGGGTATCTAGAGACGAGAAAAGATCGGCAACATGCTTTGAAAGCGAAAATTGACCCGTTCGCAATCAGCCTTCTACAGGATTGCATACATGAAATTCACAACATAAAACCCGTAGTGTAAATACGGTTAGCATGAATCTTCCTTGTGTGGTATGGATTAGCTAATCACTGAAACAACATTTAGGGGAAAGATACATACACGCCCTGGAACAAAGAGCAGGGTCATTCGTGGTAATTGCGCGAACCCCTATGTGGTACTGAGATGCCATCAAACCCTCCTCGTCAATCACCCATGACAGCACTGACCGGTCGTGCAATGGAGAATATGAAGCACTCATGTCATCTCGTTTGGAATGTGACTTGGATGTCGTTTTGTATGGTTCGCGCAGAAAGGGAATGTGGGCAAAATGTGGTGCAAGCCACATCCGGGGGTCGATGTGATTGACCAATGCGATGGAGGTGTCATTAGGGCCATATATATATGCCAGGCCTGGAGGAGATGCACCATTGCAAGAAAGTTGAAAAGGTATACCCAGGAAAATTAACAACAGGGGACAGGAGAGCGTGAGAAGGGGTGCTGGGAGGAGGCAATGGGGACATGCCAACAGGAAAACATAACCTTCTGATCACTGCACAATGGTGGAGAATGACCGATTTTTCCCAGCAAGTAGTTCTCTCACCTGCAATTCCCTGCCGAAGAGGCCCAGGTGCCCGGGGTGACGGCCGGTCTAGAAAGAGGAAGAGGGAGTCGATGAGCCGGAAGTGAAACGAGGTTAGCAGCACACGCAGACGCGGAAGAGGCGCCTCCAGGAAAGAAAGAGAGGCGTTGGAGGGCCGGACAGCATCCAGCCATGTGACCAAGGTCTCTGCATACCGATCAGCCCATTCCTCCTCACTCACACACTCCGCCCCTGCACTGTTTTGAACCTGCTCTCTCTGCCTGGTCTCCCCGCACAGGTCAATCTTAAGGTCCAGAGCTAGCGTAACATCAGCATGCCAGAAATGCTGCACCACGTGGGTGAGGGAGGGCAAGGGGGTGTGTTTGAACTTGGGGTCAAACCACCCTCCAGCGTCTGCCTGTCCCACCACCTCCCATGGCAAATCCTCCACACGAGGTGCTTCCTCCTTGCTCTTTCCCCTCTCCCCTTCCTCCCACCGTCCCTGTCGGCCCCCCTGCTGCCCCTCCTGCTGCATGGACTGCACGGACGGGAGCGGTGGCAGGGAGGGCGCGAGCTTGGTGCGGAACGTTGTGCCGTGCACCACGGCGAGCTGCCCGTCCCGCGTCATGTGCACGTCCATCTCCACGCAATTGGCGCCGCGCTGCACGCACGAAAAAAATGTGGTGCGCGTCAAGAACCAGGGTCGACGGGAAACGGGAGGGAGGCGAAGAGGTGGGAAAACAGGAGGGGGGATGAATGGAGATTACCAAAACGAGGAGGGGGGGGATTGGGGCGGGGATGAATGAGCCTGGAAGCGGTTGCTTGGATTTAATACACGTGTACTAGCAAAACGTCCGTAACTAGCGCAGTATTACTGGCGCTAACCGTAACAGCTGCTTACCTCGAGCGCGAGCTCGAAAGACGGTATAGTGTTCTCGGGCGCCTCGCGTCTCGCGCCTCGATGGCCGCAGCACGCGATGGCAGAACGCGGCGACGGATCCGAGTCAGCGTGTGTGGAGACAACTCGAGACCAGATTTCGCGGCTTTGCTCTAACGCTTCCTTCCCGACCTGATTTGGCATAAGTGCTTTCGGAGACACCTCTTCCGCCGCAGGGCATAAGGCGCGCCATCCACGCGAGCTGCCTCCTGTACTTTCGGTCTGCGAGTGCGCCCATTTGCGTTCGTCTGCTGAGCCGCTGGAACGATCGGGACTGAGAGCTTTTGGATCGTTAATCGGGGATGATAACGTTGAAACGAAGGATAAGGAAGGCCAGGCAAGAGTAAGAACGAACGCCGTTATGAGTATGGCGGCCAGGCCGCCATAAACCACGTGCGGAGCAGCAGCAGCAGCATGAAAGCTGCCCCTCATTTTCCAGAACTCAATCACATGCTCTGAAAATGATGTGAGGTGGACTCACTGCGAAAGAAGCTCCCGGTTCGGTTAGATAATGGAATCCAACAACAAGGATTGTAAAGCCAAATGAGAGATCACATTACCGCGTACAGCAGGAAGGGTACACCTTGCAGCTCTGTCAAACCTAGCCAATCATGAACTCAATCAAACGAGCTCTGACAGGTTCTCGCGGGAACTGACAAGGTCAGCTGGCTCGGTAGAACCAGACACTTAGCCAAACCAAGGCTTCCACGAAGCAAACCCCGCCGAACCAAACCATTTTATGGGTGCACAAACTGTTGTTGCACCCATTGATTGGAACGAATGGCATGTTTCCTCTTCTTCCTACGTATCCAGCGAACCGTTCTCAAGTACTTACAAACCGTTCGGATGGCATATATAAGCCTCCTCACCGTAACTGAAGCATCCCCACCGCACTTCTGTGAACTCTCAACCCACTCGTTCACCATCTCACGGCCATCCTCCCAGACCTAGACCCGCCTTTCACAGCCTCCACCCAGGCTAGTCATCCCTTGGTTTGGCGTCGGTCTTTGGCTTGGTCCCTTTTCACTTCAAAACTTTCTTGCTTTGCTCCGCTCTGCTCGGCTCTGCTCTGCAGCGCTGCTCTTTCAGTGTGTGTGCTTTGCCCACATCACATCACTCAGCTTGGGTGATTCTTGACCTTCCCACCCAGTCACTCATTCCAGGCATCGCTTGCCTTCCGTGGCCTGTCTGTCTAGACGATCAGTATCGCCTCGACCGGCCTCTTCTTTCCAGATCGGAAGGCTTCGGCGCTCTCGCGGCACGTGCATTGCCCGGTTTTGGGACCTGGACTCCGTTAATTTATGACAGCATACATCACGTTCACTTTAAGACGGCATTGGTCTGAATCTGAAACAGCAGCTCGCTGGTTCTAAGCTTACGATTCCACCGACTTTGTCCTAAAACGGACTCACTGACCCTTGTGAACATTACCTATGCGACCTCGGCCCGGTCAGGAACATCCGCCGTCATTCTCTCTCCTTAACGTGTCCTCCCCCAAGTTCAGCCTGGGAAGGATGTCTCCATCGGAGCGGCTCAAGGTGTTTTTGAAATCCGACGCCGCGAAGCTCACGATGTGCGTCGTCGGCGTCGTAGGCACCCTCATGGTGTACGGAGTCATGCAGGTATGCACTTTTAATTCTCTCCTTATTGTCATGCCAGGAATGTGGTTACAATGTGAGCAACCTTTCCTGCTCATTCCCACAGATTCAGGTACGTCGACCGTCGCTGCATCGAACTTGGAAAAGAACATTCAGTAATTACCACATTAAATCACCAGTACAACATTAGCGGACTGAATCAAACCCTTGTCTCACTGGCGTCATCGCCGCACACTGGCCGCGACATTGATAGATCTCACATCCAATCCTAACCGTCATCTACTCATCCGTAACTTCCCGCATCTTCTCCTCGCATCTCGCCTTTCCGCCTCGTCTTTCTTCCTGTGACGCCGCGCTCGAGCAGGAACGGATCATGCGGCAGCCGTACGGTGAGGAGCAAGAGAAGTTCCAGGAGTCGCTGTTCATTGTTCTTTGCAACCGAATCCTTACCTGCAGTCTCGCCGTCATCGTGCTCCTGGTACGGTGTCCCACTCCCCCATCCTATTTTCCACCGCATTTTCCCGGGTTTCCGCTTTCACAATTGTCAACATTCCACCCTCTGTTCTCTCACGCTCGTCTCTTTCCCATCGCTCGCTCTCATTATGCGCATGTATTTCTTTTCAGTTGCCCTATCGTTGTTTCTGATAACCCCGTCCCGCCAACCGGCTCGCTTCCCTGTAGATTCAAGGCAAGTCCATGGCTCCCGTCGCGCCTCTCTACTCGTATGCCGCGGTCTCCGTGTCCAACGTCGTCGCCACGGGATGCCAATACGAAGTGAGACGACAAGCGTTAAAAGGGCCGTTAATGTCCACCAAAGCGTTTGAAATCTATATTATATATAGAATTGTCAACCGTGACGGGTGACGGTGCTCTTGCATGGGGCTTTCAACTTGAATTCTGACCTATGCTTTCTTCCTGCGTATCGTGTGATTGCAGGCTCTCAAGTTCGTGAGCTTCCCCATCCAGACTCTCGCCAAGTCAGCGAAGATGATCCCCGTTATGGTACGTACTACAGCTTCTCACTACTACAACCTATTCGTGACTGGATGTTTTCGCGGGGTTCTGCACCTGGGGATGGCCACTTGCCAATGTTTTCTGGTCCGTGGGGGGGGGTTCTGCTCGCTTGCCCCAAATACTGCAGCTGCGCAGCATGCCGACGTGCTGCAACGAGTTGTGGTCTTACTTGTGTAAAAGCCTTGACAACCTCTTTTTCCTGGGGATATTTGGGTATGGCAGATATGGGGCACGGCTATCATGGGCAAGAAGTACAACCTCAAGGACTACGTGATTGCACTGCTCGTCACGGGAGGCTGTGCCGTCTTCGTGCTCTATGGGGTATGTCCCCTCCGCTCGCAGTCACCGCCACTGCAGTGTTACGACCCTCTGTTCCGATCCGTGACATTCATCTGCCACGTCTGGTCGTGACCCCTTCCCTGCCCCTTTTTCCCAATATGCCCACGCCTTCTCAGGACAACAAGAAGCACAGGCAGGTGGATTCCACCTTCTGGGGCGTTCTTCTGATGGTTGGATACTTGGCGTAAGTGGACACTATAACAAAATGTCTCCACGCTTCGCAAATAAGCCATGGCCAGATGTGTACCGTAAACGCCGTGCACTTCCCGGCCACGTGTGCCCATGCTGAAACATTCCCCGCCTTGTGTCTGTTCCACTCGCCAGGTTTGACGGGTTCACATCGACGTTCCAGGACAAGCTGTTCAAGGGGTACAAGATGGACACGTGGAACCAGATTCTCTACATCTCCATGTGGTCCGCGCTGCTCTCTCTGCTCGGTGCGTACCTCTGCTCTCTCTTTCCTCGGCCCGTGACCCCTGCTCTGTGTGCTTGACGCACCTGCCCCTTCCTCCTTCTTGCCTCCCGACTCCGTGTCTGGCGTGCATAATTCTGATGGTTCCCTGTTATTGCATACGCTCCTTGGCGAACTGTCTGGCTAAACCAGGCTGGGGCAGAGTTGAAGTGTGAAGTAAAGATTATGTGTTTCCGTTCTCTTGGTTGCTGCAGTGTTGTCCCACACTTGTCACCCCTGCATACCTCTTGTGCCATGCATGCCATACCATCAATTCCATGCCACACAATCATATCCGACCAACCCTGTGCTGCGTGTGTCTGCAGGGCTGCGCTACCGCATTGTGTATGCCATTCGCTTCATCACCAAGCACCCAGACTGCTTCTTCCACATCTTCATGCTCTCAGCTGTAGGTTCCTCCTCGCATTTTCAAATGTACGCTCTTCCAAACACTACACACGTTATCATCAAAGCTCGAACCACAATACCAGAAGAGCATCGTATGCAGAACTGACCAGCATAGGCCAATTTCAGCCACCTCCTGAAAACACTAACTTCCCCCCCCTGCACCTCTCCCAGCGTGCCTTTCTTGCCGCATACACCCTTCGCAATGTGGTCTCTTTTCAACTTTGGAGATTGACTGTTTTTTCAACCAACCCGTTGCATGGGTTCATGTGTTCATGTTTGCATTGGTGCATGGGTGCATGGGTGAAACGGTGCGCTGCTGCATGGGTGCATGAATGCGGGAACACATTGCATGGGTGGGGTGCATGATTGCACTGATGCTTGGTGGGGGGGTTGCACCTGTGCAGTCTGCCACCACGAGCCAGTTCTTCATCTCGTACACCATCAAGACCTTTGGCGCCCTTGCCTTCGCAACCATCATGACCACTCGCCAGGTCAGCACCACGCACCCCTATCTCCATTTAAAAAATGAAGACCAGCGAGGCAACCAGCCACACGTTCCCCTGTGCACCCCAATCCATTTGTTGTTTCTGCTGCTCTGCAGCATCTCTCACCAGCTCTGAACTATCTGCACTGCGTGGCATCAGCTGACTGTTTTTCCCCCGTGTCCTTCTCCCTGCTGGTAACCATTTTCCCGGTCCACTGTGCAGCTGCTGAGCATTCTCCTCTCGTCGATCCTCTATGGACCTCCACTCACCTTCGGCCAGTATGGTGGCACGGTAAGCTGCATGCATGGGTGTTGCCATTTAGATCCGTCCTCTTTGTCGTTTTCTCATGGCCTTCTTGCAGACCCATGTCCCCACCTAGAGAGGTGAACCCCGCCCTCTGCTTGTGCTGCACACACAGTTTGGCTTGCTCTGCCTCACCACAGGACAAAAACTGACCTCTCATGAGTTGTGTGAATTTGCCCGTGTCTACATGAAACGCAGACAATGGTGTTTTCGTCCCTGTATTACAAGTCCTACGCGAACAGCAAGGAGAAGAAGGCTGAGGCCAAGAGCAAGGAGAGCAACAGCTTGGAGGGTGATAATGGAGGCAAGGAGATGGAGCCTTTGATGTCCAGTGGCAAGGATGGGAGAGACCAACTGGGCATGGACAGTGAGGGGAAGGAGGGCAAGGTGTGAAGCAGCAAAAAGCACCACCACGAGCCCCTCTGAGTTGACTGGTGCCATGCTTTGACATTCTTTCTTTCTATCTCGGAGTGCTACTGTTGGCAAGTTGCTCGAAGCTGCTGGGAGCAGTTGCTGTTTGGTGATCTGCTTCCGAGGTGTAGTTTCACACGAGATTTCATGGAAGCCCTTATTTACTTAGCTAGACGAGATGCCACTTCTTCAGCCTATTAAGATTACCTGTATTAGCTTATTAAGATTCCTCCAGCAGACTCTAGGATTCCATAAATCACAAGGTGTGCCCGGAACAATCAATCACATTACAGTATAGTGCATACCTGAAATCAGGAACAATGAGACTGGTGATGCACCTACGCTACCTGTTTGTTCCTCGAAAGATTCGACGTACCAGTAGTCCTTGACGAGACCAAATATACAGCGGATTTTTTAGTCGTTGCACCGAACCACAGGTCCGGGAGGGACCCTCCGAGCCCTGGCTGTCGGTTGTCGGTGGTTTCCGTACGGTCCGAGCCTGCGCTTTCCTGGCACACTCCCCACCGAAGTCAGCCTGAAACCGAACCAGCCCAAACCCTCGGCTTGGGTCTAACCCACAGCTAACTCTGGCTTGCTCGCTGTGCCTTGCTGGGAGAAAGTATGCGGCTGGGCAAGGCGACCATTGGCCGCTCTCGGCACAAAGAGGTTCGGTGCGCTTCGTCTAGTAGCCGTCAAACTGACCGTTCAGAGACGACGAAGGGCAGAAGGGAGATGCAGAGGTTGCGCGAGCAACAACACCAGCCGTCATGTCACGTTTTGTCAACGAATCACGTCCCACCGCGCGGCGTGTTGTTTCGCTTGGACGTGCCATACGACGCACCGTCGTGGTCGTCCCAGTCAGCGATCAGGAAGTTACCATTCATCGCCAGTCTGCGAAGCGCGCGAATCACCATCGCCTGCTTCATGTTTCTGCTCGCTTTCCTTCCCTCTCCTCTCTCCTCCAAGGTGCGGCAAGCCTGGCGGCAATCCCGATGGGCTCCAAATAAGTAAAACAGAGACTCGGCAGGTGAAAGTGAAAAGCATCTGTAGCAACACAGCACACTCACAGCACACGGCAGTCCAGAGCCACAATCCAGAGCCAACGGATTCCACTTCTCAGAACTCCTTTTTCCAACAATCTTTCACAGCAGAAGGCAAAGCAACGGCGAATTTAGGCGCTTGAAACAACTCAGGCCAGTACTTGGTATTGTCCGTCAGCTATAAGGAAACGCTATACACTTTTCTTGTTACGCGTCCGCATGGGGCAGAATTATTATCCCAAGCTAGTCGCGTTAGTGGCTCTCTGCATAACTTCAACTATTCTAGGCTCCACGGAAGCAGCAACGGGTGCGGCGCAGCTACGGTTGAACCAGATTCAGCTGGTGGGGGTTCACAACTCGTACCACGTGCAGCCTGTGAAGAAACTTCTTGATCTCGCTTTAAGACTGTCAGACTCCTTCCAAGGCTGGCAATACACGCACAAGCCTATCCCCAAGCTCCTGGAAAAAGGCGTCCGGAGCTTCGAATTCGACGTGAGTATAGAGCTTTAGCTTAACGCCCCCGTTCCGCGTCCTCGTTGCTCGTGCAAACTTTCGCGTTGGACTGAAAGCGATGCGAGCCTCGTCAACCGCACTACCATGTCGTCATGGGACGCGCCTTCGTCCCGCTCGCGTCCCTAGTCTCGCTCTCTGACTCGGCCATTTCCGCCTCATTCTCCGCTATATTCCTGACGCTCTTTACACAGTGTCGTTTCACATACGCACGCCATGTCTAGCACCATGCTCTATCGAAAGACCCCCATTGACACCATGATCTCGCATATCCACCTATCCGTGATAATGTTTCGTCTACAGAGCTGTCGGTTCCCAATCCCATGCGATTCACACCCCCTCTCTCCTCGCGCCCTCGTCTATCGATCCACTTCCATGCCAAAAACGCTCCCCCTACCGATCCGCTCGCTCGCCAATCACCTGGAAAAACGCGCCGCACTTTCGCGACTCGTCCTTCCTTTCTCTACGTGACACTGCGGGTCTGGAACCCCCACCTGTCCCATCACTGCCCGACGTGACTGTCTCTCATCCCGCTTCCTCCTATTCCCTTGTCGCCATCGTCCTCCTTCACTCCCTTCCCATCCACAGCTACAGCTGGAGCTGCAGCAAGCGTAGCTGTCTGATCCTGCTCTCACCTCTCCCAAATGTTTACCTCCCCCCATTTCTTCCCCCTCCGCACGTGTCATCGCCCTGTCGCAGGTGTTTCCGGATCCTGAAGGTGGCCGCTACTACAATCGCGATGGCATGCGACTTATTGACCAGCCCACGGCGTCGAAAATCCCCGCTTTAAAAAAACCAGGTTACAAGGTAATGCACGTGCAGGACGTGGATTACCAAGCCACGTGTCTCGCGTTCGTTGACTGCCTGAAGCAACTGAATTCTTGGTCGATGAAAAACCCGGGCCATCTGCCAATCACGGTGAAGGTGGAGGTCAAATACTCGTCGCTCGTTAACGAAATCGGATCAATCGCATCCATGATTCTCCCCAACGCGGCGATTCCACCGGAAATCACCCCAGCCTTGCTGACGGATCTGGAGAAAGAGGTGCTGTCAGTAATCCCTAGGTGGAAGATTCTGAAACCGGATAATGTGAGGGGAAATTACCCTACACTGGCAGGAGCTGTGAAGACTAAGGGGTGGCCGTCCGTGGCTGTTGCATCAGGGAAATTCATGTTTGTCCTGGTGGGGAACGCCATTGATACGTACAAGCAGAAGGCACCGTCGCTGCAGGGGAAGCTGTTCTTTACTGGGCCTACGACAGGAGGGACACCAGACGCTGCTGTGGTGAGCATGGAAGTTGCCTATAGCTCTGCTAAGGAGGACGTGCAGCAATTGCTTAAAGACAACGTGATTGTATGGACGAGAGCGGATGCGGATACGGTTCAGGCAAGAGCGAATGACGGGACGAGGAGGCAGGTGGCGCTGACGTCAGGTGCACAGATAGTGCACACGGACTACCCTGCTGCTGAGAGGCCTAACCCGTTTGGCACGCCTTACTTTGTAGGGTTGCCCATGGGAAGGAAGGCCATGTGCAATCCTGTGACGGCGCCAAAGTGGTGTCGCCATTATTTCCTCAATGAGCCCATTAAGGCATAGTTGCGTGCCTGGTTTGTTCCTGTAGTCAGTGGACTTTCCATGTAGGCGTAGTTGGAAGATTTCATGTTGTTTTTATTTGCACTATGTCTGATCGACTTACATACGTTGATGGCCACTGCTCTTTTTTATTTTTGCTGCTGATATGGTATCATGCATTTGAGTAATAACGGTATTATGAACCTAACAACCAATCCTGTTGTAAAAAGGAAGTACACGCAGTAGTAAACCGTTCCAAAGCGAGACAGCTCATCAAGAAACAGCACTCCGAAAGAAATCTTACCGTATATTTTGCACACAAGCAGTAGTTTCGCTTTATTCAACCCGTCAAAAGAAGCTAGCCTCCAGTCTCGAGTCTAAAATGTGGGGTATCGCACGCGTCAGCTTTAGTAGGATGTAGTCATAATCCTTAGGCACATCGGTCTTGGTCAAGCTTCGCTGTCCTTCGCTTGCGGCACTTTGCTTAAATTGTTTGGCGCACGCAATAAGCCGTTGACCTTGCCCTTTTCGCAGGATCAGCAACACCAGCAGAAACGAAATAGTATCCTTCGCTCGCACACCGGCAGCACATCTCTTAACTCGACGCCGCCTCTCGACGCGGCAGCACATCGCTTGGGATTCGCGGAATCGCACTGCGGTCAGTCAAACTTGAGTTGGCATAATTCTTTCCGGGCATTCGCTACGGCAATCCGCATGGACGGTGCCGATAATGCCACGCCGGCCAAAGGAAGCACCGAGAACTCCGCAGGCTCCGATAGTGGCGGTGCCTCCAGCAGCGGCGGCGACGGCAGCGGAGTCGGCGGAAAGAAAGTACCGTCGTGGCTGAACAGCAAGGCCTGGTCGCGCCCCGCCGCCAAGATCTCCGCGGATGGCGCTCGTCTGTCTCCGTTGACCCCGGGCGAGGGGGGCGGGGAGGGTTCCGCGCTACCCGGGGATGGGGGCGAGCTGAGCGCAAGTGAGTCGAAAAAAGGGGGAATGGGGATACGGGAACTGGGGAGCGGCGGAGGGGCGAGCGGAAAGGAAGGGGGAGATGGTCGAATTGGGGTGGGGGATAATGGGGGAATGGAGAAGGTCGGGGCGGCGATGGCGCGGGCGCGGATAAGCAGTGAGGCGGAGGGGATAGGCGGAGACGCGGGGCTGGAGGGAAAGGAGAAAGGAGGTGTTGATGGTGATGGTACGAGTGGCGTGGGGGAGCGAGCAGGGAAAGAGGGATGGCATGAGATGGAGGAGGGTGGTGGCGTGAGGGGAAGCGGCGCAGGAGGGGGGAGAGAGGGAAATGGCGTAGGTGACGCGGCTGGCGGAGGTGAGGGCAGCAGCAGTGGGCTGAATCGTACTGACAGCGACAGCAGCAGGGGCAGAAGCAGCGTGACAGCGAGCACCCATGGCAGCAGCGTCCCCAGCGCAGCCGCACCTTCTGTGAAGTCCCCTCCACGTGAGTTCCCGGGGGCTCCTCCATCTCTCTTCTCTACATGCAATGCGACCGCCTTGCGATTTTTTAGGCGCCTCAGAAATGGCTTCTCCATGTCTCTACATGCAATGCGACCGCCTTGCTTCATGCAGGAAAAAGAAGTTTTCATTCACCTGCCCACCTTCCAACCTGTGCTCTCTAGTCTCACCTCCCCACGGTGTTTTTATTCCTCTTTCTATCGCCGTCCGTTAATTCTCTTTTATCATTCCCTTTCTCCTTACACACTTCCTTCCGTCCTTCCCTTCTTCCCTTCCTCCCTCCATCCCTCCTCCCTTTTTTCTTCCTACCTCCCTCCCTGCCTGCCGGCCTCCCTCCCTGCCTGCCTCCCTCCCTGCTCCCCACCCCACCCGCCACCCCTCCCCGCACAGGCCCTGGCAGGCCTCGCGCAGTCACATCCCCCTCCTCCCCCCCTTCCGCCACCACCACCACTCCCCCGCTCGGCCCGCTCTCCCCACGCCCAACCACAACAGCAGCAGCAGCAGCAGCATCCCCCCCGCTATCAGCACCGCGCACGTCCCCCTCCCTGCTCCCACTCACCAGCAGCATCACAGCAGGCCTTGGCTTTGGAAGCGACCTCAGCAGCAGCAGTAGCAGCGGTGGGGGGGGCGTGGGTGGGGGAGGCGAGAGGCGGCCGAGCCTGCTGGAGCAGCTGAGAGCAGCGGCGTTTGCAGAGCCCATAGTGGTGGCGCCGGTGCTGCATGCGCGGGCAGGGGGAGGGGGAGTGGGGTCGTTCACGCTTGCCACTGCATCTGCAGAGGACCAGGCGTATGAGCGCCGCCTGGCACAGTTCTACATGGAGGTGCGGGGTGGGGTGGGGTGGGGTGGGGTGGGGTGGGGTGGGGTGGGGTGGGGTGGGGTGGGGTGGGGTGGGATGGGATGGGATGGGATGGGATGGGATGGGATGGGATGGGATGGGATGGGATGGAAAGGGTTGGGGTGGAGTGGGATGAGTGGAGTGGAGTTGGGTTGGGTGGGGTGGGATGAGGCATTTCTGCTTGATCTCTCATACCCGTCATGGTTGCTGCTGCCCCCTTCCCCACTCCCTCCCTGCCCCCTCCGCCCCCCCCATTCCCTGTCCCCTTCCCCGCTCCCCTCCCTGCCCCATCCCCGCCCGATTTACCATCCCATAATAGCAAGTTAGCAACCTCATGTTCGTTCCTCGCCTCCCAGTCTCCACCTGATCACCCCTCTCTCTGTGCTCCACGCACACCGCACCACACCATGCCACATCACATCGCACCACATCGCACCACACCGCACCGCACCACACTGCACCACACCACTCTGCACCGTGCCGTGCAGATCTCCCAGCCGCGCATCAACCTGGGAGAGCTGCGGCGCCTGGCCATGTACGGCATTCCCAATGAGGGCAGCCTGCGCCCCGTCGTCTGGAAGGTGCGGTGGGGTCGGATGCGGTGCTGGGATGGGGTGGCCCGGGTGGGTGGTGTGGAAGCGAAGGTGGGTGGTGATGTGTGCGCATGCATGCGAAAGTGCACTGAAGTGGCCATATACGCATATGCGTCCATATGCCCATACCCCCATGCATACTGAACTGATTCATGCATGCAACTGAGCGTCCCTGTCTCCATGACTCGTGCCTCCTTCTCTACGCTTGCTACTCTCCTTTTCAGAAATGACGAGCTTTTTTTGTGTGGCTCGCACCGCATTGCCCACACCCACGTCAACCCCTTTGGATTGTACTCGACCCATGGTTCTTGTTGTACCTATCTAAGCCATTATCTCCCCGCTTCTGACCCTCTCCCCATTCCCCGCTTCCTCTTCCCCTCCCCTTTTTCCCTTCCCCTTTTTCCCTTCCCCTTTTCCCCTTCCTCTTTTTCCCTTCCCCTCCCCCCTTTTCCCATGGGCAGCTGCTGCTGGGGCTGCTGCCGTTGGTGCGGGACGACTGGGAGGCGGAGCTGGAGAGGAAGCGCCGGCAGTACGACTGCTTCACTGCCGAGCTCATTATCAACCCGGTATGTCCCCTGCACCCACCTGCACCCACCTGCATGCACCCCTGGGCACTGTCTTGCGTTGCCGATGGCATTAGTTGCATTGGCCGCCTGCCCTGCTGCTCCTTTTCCAGTCGCTCTTCACCCTTTTCCAGTCGCTCTTCACCCTTTTCCAGTCGCTCTTCACCCTTTTCCAGTCGCTCGTCACCCTTTTCCCCCGTGCTTGTCACTCAAATACGCGTGCAGTCTCGTGTGTCCGCCTCAAAATCTTCCTCACCTCCACTCCAGTCCGCTTCCACCCCTTTGCACTCCTCCCTCCGAACTTCATCCCTGTATTGGCACCATTCTCCCTCACCTCTGCACTCCTGCACTCTCATCCCCGCATTGCCATATCACATCCACCCGTTCTGCCCCGCCTTCCTTCCTACCTCCAGTCCAAGCACACAGTCGACCTCACAGCGGCCCAGGGCACTCCAAACAAGCAGCAGGGGCAGCAGCAGCAGCAGCAGCAGCAGCAGCAGCAGCAGCAGCAGCAGGGAGGGGAAGCAGGCGGCAAGAGCACCCTAGATTCACCGCTACACGGCAAGGCAGGGCCCGCACTGTGGGACAAGCAGGACTTTGGCTTGCCCGCAGGGGAGGCAGTGGGGGGAGCAGGGCGGCCTGAGAGGGGGTCGCTGGGGGGGGAAGTGGCGGGGGGAGGGGTTGTTGGGGGGGAGGTGCGGGCGCATGGGGAAGGTGGGAGTGGTAGAGCGGGAGGGGGAGGAGGGACGGGAGGAGAGGAGGTGTTGGAGTTGCATGGGAGTGATGTGTCATCGCATGACCATCCGCTCAACGACAAGCCTACCTCCGTGTGGCGACAGTACTTCCAGGTGCGATGGGTAATGGGCCTGGGTAATGGGCCTGGGTAATGGGCCTGGGTAATGGGCCTGGGTAATGGGCCTGGGTAATGGGCCTGGGTAATGGGCCTGGGTAATGGGCCTGGGTAATGGGCCTGGGTAATGGGCACACACGGTCATTCGTTCTTGCATAGTTGGGTTGGGTGACTGATCCGACTTCCGTGTGGCGACAGTACTTCCAGGTGCGGGACCCATGCTGCCTTACTTGCTTGCCTCACCACCATGGCTTCCCATGCTTCCAGGTGGAAATGCTCACACACACACACACACACACACACACCCTCTCCCATCCATCCCATCCCGTCATCCCTCGCGCCCATCCGTTGTGGCTGGCAGGACTCGGAGATATTTGAGCAGATAGACCGGGACGTGCGGCGCACACACCCGGAGATGCTCTTCTTCACTCGCAACGACGGCTCCGGCCTCACCCCCGCCCAGGTGCTGCTCCCTTGGACCCCGTGGGGGCAGTGGAGGGGGGAAAAGGAGGGTGGGGGTGCTGTGGGAGGGCAGGGGGAGGGCAGGGGGAGGGCATGGGGAGAGTAGGGGATGGGGAGGATGTGAGAGGCACGTGAGCAGGATGGGTGGCATGTGGGGATGGGGATGGGGATGGGGATGGGGATGGGGATGGGGATGGGGATGGGGATGGGGATGGGGAATGCATGGGAGCCTTGATGCATGGTGTGACCACTGATGACCACAGATGAACAATCACTTAGAACTCTCAAAAGCAATTCCAGCAGAGTAGCCCCCACATTTCCTCTTCCTCTCCCCATATCCCTACACAACGCACCCCTCTCCCCGTTCCTCCCACTCCCCTCTCTCCAACCCCACACAGGAAGCCATGCGGCGGCTGCTGCTCATATTCGCGAAGCTGAACCCGGGCATTCGGTACGTGCAGGGCATGAACGAGGTGCTAGCGCCCATCGTGTATGTGTTTGCCAACGACCCCGACAAGGCGCACGCGGTGCACGCGGAGGCAGACGCGTTCTTCTGCTTCGTGGACCTGCTCAGTGACTTCCGCGACTTCTTCTGCCAGCAGCTCGACAACAGCGTCGTGGGGATCCGGTCCGCGATTTCCCGGCTCGCGGAGATTTTGAGGCGGCATGATGAGGAGCTGTGGAGGAACCTCGAGTATGTGTCCAAGGTGGGTTCCTCTGCCTTTGCCTCTGCCTCTGCCTCTGCCTCTGCCTCTGCCTCTCGCTGTGCCTGTGGCTCTGTCTGTGGCTCTGGCTCTGGCTGAGCCAGTGAACAACAATCCTTTTCCCCTGTCTCGTTCTCCTCTCTCCTGTCCTCCCCACCCTGCACCTGCTGGCAGGTGAATCCGCAGTTCTACGCCTTTCGCTGGATCACGCTGCTGCTCACCCAGGAGTTTGGGTTCCCTCAGATCCTTCGCATCTGGGATGCGCTCCTATCCTGCCCTGAAGGCCCCATGGTATGTGTGCATGTCACGATTGTGCGGTATGTATGCATTGTGCATGTCACCGTAATAATGGTGCATTTGACCTTACTGCCTATGCATGCCACCATGTTGTTCATGCATTTCACTGCTGTTGTCCATCTACGGTATCTACCCAGTGCTCCAGATGTTTCAAACTGGTTGCTACTGTTTGTATGCTGTGCCTTGCATGTCCCTTCCCTCCAGGACATGCTGCTGCGGGTATGCTGTGCCATGCTCATGTGTGTGAGGGAGAGGCTGCTTGCAGGGGACTTCACCAACAATCTCAAGCTGCTGCAGCGATACCCTCGCATCGACATTGAGATTATTCTGCGCACTGCTGAGCGGTTGCACACATAGCATGTTCTGCATGTTCTTCCAAGGAACATCATCATGGATGGAGCTGTCTAGGAGCTTCCTAATAGTGGAAACTTGATTTGAGTTTTGAAGTGGGGTCTGTATACGGTCTCACTCGCTCCCCCTGGGTGACGATGCGCGGCAATTGATTAACATCGCACAATTCTGCTGTAGTGCCTGTCGCACAAATCTGTTACCCAACACATGCTATGGTGTACCTATATGATTTTGAGACTATGGGGTCTAGGAATGGTACCAGTGTGCATGTCAACCTGATAAGCACATTTCATCGTATGCGTCGTTCGTCGTCTCTTGATTATGCTCACATACCGACAACGGTTTCCTTTATTTCCTAAAAAATCATTATGGAAGAAAATTCATTTTATATTCATTATAGTGCATATATCAAGGTTCGCAAGACCCACTTTACAAGGTGGGCACACGGTCAGCGGCACTGCCGAGCGAGGTCAGAAGGTTGTTGCCGAAGGGGTCGCTCAAGTGGGTGGTCAGGTTCTCCACTGGGCCCTCACCGGTGACCTTGGCCTGGATGAAGAATCCGAGCATTGAGAACATAGCGAGACGGCCGTTCTTCAGCTCCTTCACCTTGAGCACGGCCAGGGTGTCGGGATCCGAGGCCAGACCAAGGGGGTCGAAGGAACCGCCGGGGTACAGGGTGTCGAGGTCCTGAAAATTGCAATACAACAAGGTTTCAGAGAACTCGCGCAGAAAAAAAACAACCGCGACGTAAATCAGGGAAACGATATTTGTAGTCGACAAATAATATTGTGCACTTACGGTGCCGAGGGGAGAGGCGTTCTTGGCGCGGTAGTACTCTGCACCGCCGACGAGGATGACCTCGGCGATGGTGGCGGCAGCCAGGTTGAGGGGGATGGTGGCACCCAGGTACTGGATGCTGTCACCCTCGAGCAGGAGAGCACCGGTCTTGAACCACACGGCCTCCGGACCGCACACGCCGGGCACGTACTTGTTGAACGCCTCGGGCAGGATGAAGCCGGCGGCGCCGAGCATGGCCCAGCGACCGTGGATCACCTCGTTCGCGCGGTACTTCTCGAAGTCGGCGGGCTTCTTGCTCAGGCCGAGAGGGTCATAGCCATAGCTGCAGACGGAGAAGACGGTTGGTGTGAGATGCTCTGTAATCGATGAGAAAAGAAGACATATGTCGGAAATGCGATGTACACTTACTCGCCGGGGACCTCGCCGGTGAGGTAGGACGGGATGTCGGACCGGTCGAGGAGACCCTCAGGGAGGTAGGTCCTGCGGTCGGGGCCATACCACTTGGCGATCTCGGGGTTGGCAGGAGCCGCGGCCTTCTTAGCAGCGGTCTTCTTCTTGCTCAGGGTGGCAACGGTCCTGGCGGAGGACTCGGTGGACTTGACTGCCACATTCTGGCCAAGGAATGAGCTCCTGAGGACAGCGGACGAAGTAGCCACGGCAGCCATGGTTGTGATGTTGGTCTGAGGTGGCAAGCTTCGAACGCTAAGGGAATGGGCGAAAGAGCTTTGACAAAACCTCTCTAGCAGGGCCAGATGGAACAGAGAGGATATGAAGCTGGAAGCAGAGAGGTGGGGCGACGAATTCGGCAACACCAGCTGCGACCAGCACCGAGGATTTCGCGTTCAATTCTACGATGCTTACGTGGCGTCCCGGGACTGCGCGAGAAGGTCCGCTATCCTATCTCCCTTGTCTGTCATTGGTCGATCAAAGCATGTTACCCAGACGGAGCCTTCAATTTCACTCATTTGTCGCACGCCACAAAACCTGCAAGGCGAGCTCTGAGCCACAGAACCCTCTACACGACAAGCGAACGGCTCTGAATCCTTGTAACAACAAAAAAACTAATAGCAGTACCACCTATATATCAAATTCTTTTAGAGCAAGCCGCTGATGTTATTACAGATGATAGTAGATGCTAAAATACAATATCTAATTTCCTTGATTTTTTGCCTTTTACTTGATTCATAACCTTATTTGATAAATATATTTTTAGAAAATGAGTGAAAATGGCGTTATACATATATATATTGTAACATAATCTTTTAAATCATAGACGACAAATTCAAACTCGATGCAAGCAGAGAACTTTCCTGCATATTGATACAGAGATCTCTTGTTGTGCGGCACTTCCAACCCACGAGCCTCCCCAGACGTGTCCGCACAGTTAGGGAAAAGCGCTCCCTCACCTGCTGGCGGACAGAAGTGGAGGGGGAAAGGTTGGGTTGGAAGGGGAGACTTTCGCACGGGCGGGGGCAGTGGAAATTGGGCAGCGGGAGCAGTGCCGGCTAGGCAAGTTGGTTGCAGCTGCAGAAGCCTGGCAGAAAGTGAGGGGCATACGGGGAACTCAGGGGAGAAGTGGTTTGCTGCAGTGCGGTACGGTGCTGCAGGACGCAGCAGGGTACCGTTGTTTCGAATGGGGAAGCTCTGGAGAACTTTGGTTGGTTTGGGATTGGGAAGGCCGGGGAGAAAGAATGTCTATGGTGGTGACTGGTCAGTGGTGGTCGGTCACTAGTGCCTTGCTAGACAGAAATCACACAGAAGCAGCACACACACACGGATACACAATCTCCATTTCACAGTGCTCCAACGCGAATGCTTATCCAGGCAGGAATCGTAGAATGTTGGATAAGTGCATCGTGACCGTCGGTCTCTCACCAACCATTGAAAAGTCTTGTATTGGATGTGTAGCTGCGATCGACGTTTCTCGACGTGTCATCTTATATTTAGGCTCAGCGTGTGAAGAATGAAAGGGCAGTGATGCCCGAGGACGGCAGACTCTAGGGTTCCCACCCAGCTCTTGATGTTGGCTGACCATTGGCGTCAGCGGAGCGGCTGGTCGCTTGACAGAATCTCACTTGGGAGATCTGTCAACGCGAGAACGTGTTAACCTTTTGCGCACCGTCCTGGTCGCAACGCAAGATATAAACTGTTTCGGCTTCCGCTATGGGTCGAGGTGCGTACGCAATTTAATTTCCCTCTTGTCCTGGCCATTTAGGGTTTGCCCCTTGTTCCTGGCCATTGCGTACCGTACCGTGCTCCCGCGCACGGTAATTCCGATGCTGGCTGTCCCTCTTCGTAGTCACATTCCCTTTTTTAATCACCCTCCAAAGCCTTTAGCGCTCTTATTGGCCTTTGAGGCGACTAAGCTATTCTCTGCGCGGTGATTGCGGGGCTGGTCGTTTTCTATGTGATCACAATCCCTCGCCCTCCTGACTCACACTCACCACGAAGCCTTGGGAGCTCCCATCGTCCTTTCCCGCGTTCGTTCTAAGCTTTAGGATTCATAGGTTCTCTACACGCGAGCACCTGCAGTCCAGACACCAGGCACCTGGAAGCACTAAGCACCGCACAGCACCCGAAAGCGCCGCCAAGCACCTGAAAATACTGCACAGCGCCGCAGAGCCCAAGGAGCCTGGAGCATGTCTGTCATGTGGTCATTCAATTTCCTCGATTTTTCACTCTTTCTGTCGTTCTTAGCACGTGTTTCGTCCGTTCTAGGCGCTAAGTGGGTTATCACCGTCTCCCCATGAGCGATACTCGTTGCATTGCCAGCAATTTCTTTCCCATCACTCGCCCCGCACACTTGTCGGCCCCATTTCACTACATGTTACAATATTACGTTACGCGCCTTCACCGCATGCCACTCCATGTTCATCAACTCTCCACATTCTCGCTGCAATTTCTCATCATTTCGCCTTCTCCTCTCATCCCAATTCCTCCTTCCCCCGTCTCTTCCCCCTCTCCCCATCTCCCTTCCCCTTTCTCCCCAACCTCCCTGCCCACTCCCCTTCAACCCCTCTTCTCCGCCACCCCCGCGCGCGACATTCCAGCTTCCGCCGATGTCTTGCGCCCATGGGCGCACCTCGACGTCGGCAAGCTCGAGGTTCAGTTCCAGTCGCAGCCCCCCCCGGCCTCCCCCTCCATGCCTCCGCGCACGCCCGAGCCTTCCGCCGAGCGCGTCCCCCACCCCGCCTTGTCGTCGCTCTGGGCTATTCCGGGCTTCGCCGCCGCCGCTTCCGCCGCGGCAGGCGCAGTAGCGGGCGCAGCGGCGGGGGTTTCCACCCAGCTCGGGGACGCATGGGTCCCCGGAGGCGCGCGGCAGCAGCTGGGCGCGGGGAACGCTCGCGCGGGCGGTTCCGCGGGTGGTTCAGCTGGGGGGAGCGGCAGCGGCGGGTTTGGCGGGTACAGCAGCGGTTACGGCGGCGGGGCGGAGCGGGTACTGGGGGAGCGGATAGCGCTGAGTAGCTGGTTGGAGGACGAGGAAATGCAAGTAGCAGTGACGGAGAATGCGGAGATGATGGCGCTGGGTAGAGGCGCCACTCTCATCATCTTCGACGGATTGCCGCTGCCAGACGGACGGTCAGTGGGGGCTTAAGGGGGAGGGAATCGAAGGGCAGACGGGATGTGAGTGACTGGGAAGGGCCTGTGTGATGGTTGGTGGGGAGTTTGATGAAGGCGAGGGAGGTAGCGGAAAGCTTGTTAGCATGTGAACCTGTGAGCCGGCAAGTTCGTGATCCCAGAATTGTCTGAATTAGTTTGTCCCTTGTGCTTCTAAGGAGGTCACTCCTCACCCTCACCCTCTCCCCCTGCCACGTACCCACCCACCCTCTCGCTCCCACTTCTCTCCCCAGCCCCCGTCCCGGCTGTCACCCCGATCCAGTAGTGGTGGTACCCGCGTGTGAGCCAGACGACGCCATAACGTGCCTCGAGTGGCTGGTTTTCTCCTCCTTTGGCCCACGCCCCGTGCCCACACCCCCCGGCCGTCCCCCCGGGTGCTTCTACTGCGTTGCCGTGGGCACTGCCGCGGGGTTCCTGTTCATCTATGCCGACTCCGGGGCGCTGCTTTTAAAGCAGGTGTGGTGTGGTGGAATGGGATGGAGAGGGTAGGGGGAACAGTGGTGGGGGGTGGGAGGGGTGGTGGGGTTGGGGGGGCGAGGAAGGGGGACTTGGAGCACTAGCAAGGAGGTAGCGACTTTGAATCAACGCAGGATTCTCCCACCCACCCTTCCCCGACCCCATGTACGTGTCCTTCTCGTCCTGCCCTCCGTGCATGCACGCAGATGGTGCGCACGGAACGAACCCCTTGGTGCGGGCGCGTGTGCGTGCATTTGGAGTCCATTCTTCCTTCCGTTCTATCTCCCCTTCCGTTCTATCTCCCCTCCCTGCATGCAGATGGTGCACACGGAGCCAGTGGTGCGGGTGTGAGTGCGGGCAGTGGAGGCGGGGGGTTTGCGTTTGAGTCGACTCCAAAGTCACCCCCCCCTTCCCCGCCCCTGTCCCTACCCCATGCACGTGTGCTTCTCCTCCTGCCCTCCCTGCATGCAGATGGTGCACACGGAGCCAGTGGTGCGGGTGCGCGTGCGGGCAGTGGAGGCGGGCATGGTGCGCAATGATGGCACACAGGAGCTCTGTATCGTCACTCGCAACGCCACCCTCATCATCGCATGCACACACCTGCAGGTTCCCTCTCTCCCACTCTCTCTCCGCCATTTCCCCTCTCTCCTCTCTTTCCCCCATTTTCCCCCCGTCCCCTCTCTCCCCCGTTTCCTCACTCTCCGCTCTTTCCCCCATTTCCCTACTCTCCCCTCTCTCCCCCATTTCCGCCCCCGTTTTTTCTTCTGCCACCCCAAATGTCTGTACGCTTCCCTCTCCGCCTTACGCTCTCCCTTTCCATGTTACTTTTGAGCAATCGTCCACTCTGTTACTCATCCCCCTACCTCCATCCCCCATCCCCTCCTCTTCCCTTCAAACCCCACACATCACAGTTAACTCAGAAATATTTGTGTTTCATCCCTCCCTCCTGCCACACCTCTCTCTCCCCTCCCGCCTTCCCTCCCTCCCTCCCTCCCGCCCCCCCCTCCCTTCCTCCACCAGTCGTTGCTGCGGCAGCGAGTGCTTCAGGTAGACGACACGCTCACACTCCACAACCCCCGCGGCCTCGCCTCGCGCCTCGCGTACATGTCACACGCCCGCCGGCCCCCGCCCACGCGCGATGAGGAGGCGCTCAAGGCGTTTGCAGTGCCGCTCAAGAAGTGGCGCACTGGCAGGGCTGGTACTCAATGGAGCGACGGCGCTGTTGCTGGGCTCTTCCCCGCCCCGCTCTTCCAAACTCAGGTGCGATTTCTGAGTCGACTCAAATTTCTCTAAAGGCGTTTGCAGTGCCGCTCAAGAAGTGGCGCACTGGCAGGGCTGGTACTCAATGGAGCGACGGCGCTGTTGCTGGGCTCTTCCCCGCCCCGCTCTTCCAAACTCAGGTGCGATTTCTGAGTCGACTCACATTTCTCTAAAGGCGTTTGCAGTGCCGCTCAAGAAGTGGCGCACTGGCAGGGCTGGTACTCAATGGAGCGACGGCGCTGTTGCTGGGCTCTTCCCCGCCCCGCTCTTCCAAACCCAGGTGCGTGTCCTCCTTGAATCCCGAAAGCCCCATCTTTTGCTCCCTCCCCTCTCCCCTCCCCTCCCATTGCCCTCCCATCCGTCCCTCCCCCTGCTTGACCCCCGTCAAACCCCAAGGGATATCCGAAGTCTCTGTCTTTCTCTAGCAGCTTCACGCTCCTGCCTTTCCATCTCCACCTCCCAAGTTCCATCTCTGATCGTATCCCTCTCTCGTCCCTCTCGTTCCGCTCCGCCCATGCAGGCCCCCAAGCAGTCTCTCTGCATTGTCACTGTGGGCGTGCATCCCACCATCGCTGCTTTCGCGTGAGTCTCCCTCTCACTCTTTTTTGCCTTTCCGTTCTCCTCCCTTCCCTTCCATGCCCTTTTCCCTCCCTCGTCATCCTCCCTCTTTCTCTCTCTCTCCGTTCTCCCCTCCTTTCCCTTTGACCACCCTTTGTCCTTCCTTCTCACAAACCCGTGCCCCACAACCCGCCCATCCTTTTCCTTGCATGCTCTTCCCTCTCGCATCGTCTCCCCCTCATGCGAGTTCTGCTTATCCCCACACGCGCACCTTTCTCCCACACACACGTGCATGCATGCACTCCCGTTCCCGTCCCACCCCGTCCTCCCAGTGCCACGGAGCAAGGCGGATGGGTGCAACTCGCCTCGTCCTTTGCCACCAATGTGCGCTCTCGGGCCAAGTCAGCTGCCCTCTCCATAACACGCTCCATCACCCGCGCACCCCGCCGCATCCTCTCCAAAACCCTCTCCACCTCTCAGGACCCCTCCAATCCCTCCTCAGACCCTACCGCAGACCCCTCCGCTCCTTCCTCCGCGTTCTCGCCAGGCTCCGGCTCCCCCAACTCCCGCTCCTCCTCCATCTCCACCTTCTCCCCCTCCTCCTCCTTTTCGTCCTCTTCCCACGCGGACGACGACCCGCCGCACCTCTCCCGCCCGGCGCCGCCCGAAGCGGTGGAGGCGGGGCAGGCGATGGCAGTGGTGGCGGGGTTTAAGGACTCGGTGCGGCATGCACAGAGGCTGGCGGTGGCGCCTAGGGGGACCCTCATGGCGCTGGCTGATAACCTGGGGCGCGTGCTGCTGCTGGATACTCAGATCTTTGGGGTTGTGCGCATGTGGAAGGTGTGTGGAGGGGTGGGGAGAGGTGGGGTGAGGAATGGGGGGTTTGTTGTAAGGGATATAAGTGGCTGGGCTTGGTTCTGAGGCGATTTGACGCCGCTGCATGCCCTTTTCATGCATGTACGCTGCACATACATGTTCCCATCCCATGCATGTGACCATCCCTGCATTTATCTCTCTCGCCCTCCCTCTCTCCTCCTCCTCCTCCTCCTCCTCATCGCAGGGCTATCGGGATGCGGAGCTGGCGTTTCTAGAGGTGCCCATAATGGGCGGCACAATGACATCCATGGCAGCAGCATCGCCCAACGTGCATCTCCTCATGCTGCGCCCGCGCCAGCTCGCCATTTGTCTCGCCATCTTCGCACCCAGGCGCGAGGTCATTGAGGTGTGCTCACGTCTCCTCCCTACTCCCCCTGCCCCTCTCAACTCGCCCCTCCTCATTGCTCTCCCCTCCCCGCTGCTCTCCCCTTCTCCCTACACTCCCCCCCCTCCCAACTCTCCCTCCTCCCTACTCACCTCTCTACTCCGTTCTCCTCCTCTCCCTCCTCCCTGCTATCTCCCTTTGCCCGCTTTCCATTCCTACCTGCCTATTGGCGCCTCCCCTTGCTCATGCAAAGACTCCTCTTATCCGCCTCCCTCCATGCTCCCACTCCCACCTTCCCTCTCTCTCCTCCATCTTCATCTTCTCGGCACTCCATCCCCCTCCGCTTCCTCACTCTCCCCCTCAACCCCTCTCCCTCTCCCTTTTTGCCATCTTCAACCACAACACTCTCACCCTGTGTCCCTGCCACTCCTTCCCTCTCCTCCCCTCCTTCAGGTCTGGCAAATGGTGGGGGGCGGGCGAGTGGCCCTAATCCGCTGCCCAGCCAACAGCCGTCTTCTCCAGCCTTCCCCAGTGATCGGAGCAGCACACACCACCGTACCCCCCATAGCCCCTCTCGACCCCATTCGGCAGCAGCAGCAGCTGCAGATGCTAGAGCAGCAGCATATCATGCAGCACCCAGGGCAGCACCCGCGCGTGCGTAAGCAGCAGTTGCTCCTGCAGCAGCAGCTGCTGCGGCAGCAGCAGCAACAGCAGCAGTTGCTGATCGAGAGCACCGGCATGGGGGCTGCGGGTGCCGCTGGGGGAGCAGCAGGGGAAGGGGGAGAGGCGGGAGGGGGCGGGCAGGGGTTGCTGGGCGCAGTAGAGGGATTGCAGGTGGCGAGGCATAGAGCGTTTGTGCTGGACGGAGCTACAGGGCACCTGTCAGAGATCCTTCCCACCATCTCTGTCACTCCTCCGTACGTGCCTCTCTCTCTCTCTCTCTTGCATTCCAACCCTCGATCTTTCAAGTCTTCTCGCTGCATTCTCCATCCTTCTGCGTGACATTAAACCTGCACCCCTCAACATCTCCCCACGTCTCTCTCTCTCCTCCCCCTCCCGACTCTTCCACTCCCGCCCTTACCACCTCACCCGCCCCCCTGCCCCGCCTCCCCAACCTCTGCCCTGCGCCTCTCTCCCGCCTCTCCGTTTCCCCCTCTCCTGCCCCCCTCACAGCAGCAAGGCCTCGGCGTCAGACGCGTCTCGCCCGCACGACTCCCTCACAGAAGCTGACGTGTTCCAGCACCTGTGCGACCTACTCAAGCTCAAGCGCAACGCCCGCGTCTCTCCCTTCTCCCTTTCTTCCTCCTCCAACTCCCTCCACTCCCCGTGCCCATACTCCCCACCCTGCCTGCGCCCGTCTTCCGCCCCCCCGCCCTTTTCCCCCTCTCCCCCCTCTCCCCCCTCTCCCTCCCCCCTCACAGCAGCAAGGCCTCGGCATCAGACGCGTCTCAGCCACACGACGCCCTGACAGAAGCCGACGTGTTCCAGCGCCTGTGCGACCTACTCAAGCTCAAGCGCAACGCTCGCGCCGCAGCCCAAGAAACCGTGGAGCTGCTGAGATGGAAAGCCGAGGAGGAGGAGCGGCGGGGCGCAGAGGAGCAGGGCGTGTATGAGTACGACGAGGGGTATCGGGAGCAGATGCGGAGGAGAGCGGGGCGGGATGGGGATGGGATGGGGGGGGAGAGGGACGGGGGGTATGAGGGGGGGTTTGGGGGGTTGAGGATGAGGCTGGGGATGGGGCTGGGTGCGGGGAGGGGGAGGGATGGGGATGCGCAGCAGCAGGAGGAGGAGGATCTAGTGTTGTTGCTGCTAGGCGCGCTCTCATCCCCTGTGCGCAAGCTACAGGTGATTGCCCCTTTTCTCCGCCTCCACCTCACTCCTCCCTCACCCTTCCCCTTCCCCATGCCCCCTCTTCCCCTCTTCCCCTCTTCCACCTCGCGCCCCCCCCCCCCTTGCCCCCTTCCACCACCCTCTGACCCTTGGCTACTCTGCTCTACTCCAGCGTTTCTCTGCCTCTTTTTCCTCTTTACCACTCTTTCCCCCGCGTCTAGCAATCTCGCCTCTCTTTCCATCCCACTTGTTCCCGACCCCTTCCCACTCCCACACTTCCCACCCTCCCTCCTAATTTTCTCCCTCCCTCTCTCATCCCCCCCCCAGGTGCTCGACCTGCTAGTGGCAACGCGGGACTCTCTCTCAGCGCACTGCCACCTGGCAGTGTTAGAGGACGTCTTAACCTCAGTAGAAGACGCCATAGACTACAACCTCGGGGTTGCACGCGGGGGCGCTCCCGGCATGGGCCCCCCTCGCCCCCCGGCACTCAACACGTCCCTCCACTCGTTCTCCGGACACTATGACCCTTCATCGGGTCACTACGACCCGTCGTCGTTCCTCCCCCCTGGACATGCGGCGATGGGTGCTGCTGGGTATAACGGGCGAGGGGCGTGGCCGGGAGCGGGGATGGGAGGTGGCGGGTGGGAGATGGCAGGAGGGATGCATGGTGGCATGGGGGGGGGCGGCATGGGCGGGCATGGGAGGGAGTGGTATCGAGGTGGGAGCGCTGGGAGGGAGATGAGTGGGAGCGTAGGGGGAGGCGGAAGTGTGGGGGGTAAGCAGCTGACGCGGGGGAAGAGCTGGGCGAGGCGAGTAGATGATAAGCTGCTGCAGTATCTGCAGGAAAGGAGGGGGCTGCTGCGCTGGCAGCGCCTGCTGCTGAAGGTCTTTCTGAAGCTAAGGGACGACCATGAGGAACACTTGGAAGAGGAGAGAGCAGAGGACGCCAGGCAGCGGGGAATGGGAGGAATGGAGGAGGACGCAAACGGGAGGTGGTACAGGGAGGGCGGTATGGGGATGCGAATGGGCGGCCCTGGTATGGGGCCTGGGATGGGCCCTGGAATGGGCCCTGGGATGGGCCCTGGGATGGGGAGGGGGCCGGGGGCAGGGCCGGAGATGGAAGAGGATGAGGACGAGGCGGAGCTGTTTACATCTGTGAACTGGGAGAGGAGATGGTTGAGGAGGCCGGGGATTCAAGGTGGGGGGAAGCGGCGGGTTCTGTCAGAAGCAGAGGAAGCAGCGCTGGTGGATGAAACAGCAGAGCGCAAGGCACGGTACCAGTCCTTGGTTGCGGATCTAGGCGCGTGGATCAACGTGTGTGAGTCTGAATCAGAGTGCAACCTCCTCTGGATGGAGACTCAGGAGGTGCGTGCCCGCGTCCCTGCCCCTCCCGCTGCCGCCGCCGCCGCCGCTGCCGCCGCTGCAGACGCCGCTGCTGCTGCAGCCGCAGCAGCAGCAACCGCAGCAGCAAACGCTCAGGGGACCGCAGAGGAGGCAGAAGCACTAGCAACGCCTGGCACCCCGCCTACGTCTACCATCATTGGGGACGGGTTCACGGATCTCACCATCCCTTGGCCGATAGAAGAAGCCACCCCGCCGACACTCTCCTGCAGTGAGTTCCTCCGCTGCTTTGGCTATGACTCCCGGTGGACGCCCAGGGAGCTTCCAGAGGACAGGAGGAAGGAGAGGCAGAGGATCAAGGCTGGAGCTAGTATTGGGGGCGGTGGTAGCGTTGGGGGTTCCGGCAGGGGGTACGACAGCGGGTACGGTGGGATGGATGGTGGTGGAGGGGGAGGGGGAGGGTACAGCGGCGCAGGGAACAGCCGGGGGGGGCGCAAGGGGTTCCACAGAGGGGGCGCTGGGGCAGCAGGGGAGGAGCGCAGCCACGGGCTGTGGCTAGCAATCGGTGAGGATGTGAGTGAACTGAGGGCGCTCTCGCATTTCATCATGCGGAATATGACGCGTGGGGAGGCAGGCACGCGGAAGCTGTTCCAGGTGTTAGACGTGGTGGGGTTGTCCCGGGAAGACTGGCAGTGCCTGTTCCTGGTGTGGTTCCGGTCGGTAAAGGTAGACGATTTGCTCTCTGTAGGGCTAGATGTTCTCATGGATGTGATTCACTGCATTGGATGGTTGCGAGAGGACGAGGACGAGGAGGAGTATGAGGAGATCAGCATGCTCGACTCCCCTGGCCTGGCTTCTGCTGCTGCCTCTGCTGCAGCTGCTGCTACTGCTGCTGTGGGAGCGTCTGGGAGGAGGCAGCAGCAGCAGGGGAGGATGATGGGGGGCCGAGGGGCACGGTCCATGCGAGTCACTCAGCAGCAGCGGGATCACGTACCCCCTGGTGGCCGCTTCCCGCTCTTCTTCGGCTGGTGCCAGGTCACAGGAGCAGTGGCGAAAGCACTCTTCATGGCGCGCCTCTGCGCACAGGTCGCCAAGGAGAACCTACAGCACATAGCATTAGAAATGGTCCGTGGGCCTACTCCTTCCTCCTCCCGCAGCCCTAGACGGCTGGCTAGACGCTGGACCCAGGGCGTGGGCGGGCCTGGGGACAGGGGCATGGGGATGCAGTTAGGGGGGGATGTGGATCTAGCGCAGGCAAGGGCGGAGGGTGCGACGGTGGCGCGGCGTATGAAGCGGCTGCAGGAGGATTCGTTTGTGGAGCAGCGGGGGCTGGAGCAGTGGCTGCAGCTGGCGAAGCAGGTGGACGATGCGTGGATGCTGGGTCGCGCCATGCTGCATATCACCAAGCTCTCCGCTGCGCATGGGATCATTGTCACGCGCTCCCGTGTGCCGTCGGCGGCGGAAGTGTCCTCGTTCCCGGTGCCGCTGTGGGTGGCGAAGCTGCAGCTGCTGATCTCGCCTGCGTCTGGGGTGGTGAGGCACCTGCATATGGCGCTCCTGCATTCTGTGAAAGAGCCAGCTTCGATGCGAGAGGTGGGTATGCGGCTGTTGGAAGAAGCTAAACAGCTGGAGGCGGAGAGAATGGGAGAGAAGAAGCGGGCGCCTGCAGCCCCGAAGCAGCAGCAACAGCAGCAGCAGAGCCTGCAGCAGCAGAAGATACAGTCGCAGTTGCAGCAGGAGGAGCAGCAGCAGGCGCAGAATCGCCCGGGGGAGAGGGACCAGCAGCAGCAGCAGAATGAGCGGCAGGAGCAGGAGCAGAGGGAGAAGCGGGAGCAGAGTCTGGAGAAGCGGCAGCAGCTGCAGCAGCAGTTGCAGATGGAGCGGTTTAAAGGGGAGGTGAAGCGCGGGGGTATGGGCGAACGTGCTAAGGCCCGTGCCCGGGCCAAGGAGAGGGCCAAGAGAGGAGCCAAGATGGAGTGGGATGTGGGGACGCTGTTTGGAGAAGAGGAGGAGGAGGATGAGGAGGGAGGAGAGGGAGGCGAGGAAGGAAGGGAGGGTGATGAGGGTGCGGGAGAGGGTTCGGGGCTGGGGAGATTGGAGGAGATGCAAAGGGATTCAGAGGTGGGAGGGGGAGGGGGAGGAGGGAACGTGGAGGGTGGAAAAGCTGGTGCAGGAACTGGAGAGAGTGTGGAAGGTGGTGTGGTCGAGAGTGCTGAGGCTCCTCCTCCTGAGGTTGAGGGAGAGAAGAGTGAAGGAGAGAAGAAGGAAGGTGAGGAGAAGGGGAGTGTGGGGGTGGATGGAGGTGCAAAGGAGGGGGGTAAGGTAGTGGAAGGGGATGGATCAGGAAAAAAGGTGGAGGAGGGTGTGGGGAGTAGCAGAGGGGAAGAGGGAGCATTGGAGGAGGTTGGGGGACAGGAGGCTAAGGAGAAGGGGGATGAGGAGAAGGGGGGTAAGGAACCGATGGGAGAGGAGCAGGGGAGTGAGGAACAGGGGAGCAAGAGCAGTGCTGACAGGGCAGTTGGTGATGGTGATTGGGTGGAGGGAGAAGCAGGGTCAGTGCAGGGCTCAGTGCAGGGGAGTGAACAACACGGAAGCGAGCAGCAGGGAAGCGAGCAGCATGGGAGCGAGCAGCACAGGAGCCTGTCGTTTGGTAGTGAGGGCGAGTGGAGAGCGAACCAAGAAGGAAGAACCTCCATTGGACGTGGCTCAGTGCGAAGCTCAGGGGGCGGGGACAGGGACAGCGAGAAGAGCAGCGAGAGAGGCAGCGAGCGAGAGGGGAGAGAGGGCGAGAGAGGAGCAAGTGGGGAAGGGAAGTGGCTGGAGGGAGAGCGAGGGGCGGAGAGGGAAGGAGGAGTGAACCTGCTTGCTCGGCCGTCGGGGCTGCGAGGGAAGCTAGATGGCGGGGAGTTTAAGGGAAGCAGCATGCTCCGTGCTAGAAAGCTCCTTCACAGGGATTCGCAGCATGCTTCCAGTGGTGGTGCTGCTGCTGCTGGTGCAGCCGGTGCTGCTGGTGGTGGTGCTAGTGGTGTGCAGCCCAGCAGCAGCAGCAGTGCTGCCTTTTCGTCTTCAACAGTTGGGGATCTCCCAGAGAGCCGGGAGGGGGACAGTGTGGGGGAAATGCCATCCACCCCCAGCAATGATAGCAGGTCGGAACGGTCAGAGCGGCAGGAGGCTGGGGAGAGGGGCGAGAGGGAGAGAGAGAGGGAGCGGGAGAGGGAGCGGGAGAGGGAGCGCGAGAGGGAACTGGAGAGGGAACGGGAGAGGGAGCGAGTGAGGGAAAGGGAACGGGAGAGAGAGATGGAGAGGGAGAGGGAGATTGAGAGGGAGAGGGAGATGGAGACGATTGAGTTAGATGCAGTGAGGACGGCAGGTGTGAACGGGCCGCCAGGGGGACTGGACCCTGCTTTGCCCGCCCCTCTGCCCCCTCCTCCTATGATGATGGACGAGGAGAGGCGGAGGAACATGGCTGTGGGGATGGGCATGGGAGGCATGGGAGGCATGGGAGGCATGGGTATGGATATGGGCATGGGTATGGGCATGGGTCCTCCTGGGATGGGTCCCGAAGGGATGGGGCCAGCAGGCATGGGGATGGGGGGTGCAGGCATGGGGCATGAGGGCATGGGGCACATGGGGGGGCATTACGGACCCGAGGATAGGTATGACGGGCGTCCCCAAGGAGGCTTTGAGACATACGAGGAGCAGGAGCGGTGGTATGAGATTGCTGAGATGGAAGCAGAGAGGGAGCGTGCGCGGGAGCGAGAAATGGAGCTGGAACGAGAGAGGGAGAGGGAGCGGGAGCGCGAGTGGGAGAGGGAGCGGGAGAGAGTGATAGAGCAGCAAATGGCAATGGCTCGAGAAATGGAACAGGAGATGTTGAAGGCGCAGGAGGCAGCGAGAGCAGCAGAAGAATCGATTGAAGCACAGGCTGTAGCCGAAGCTGTGGAGCTGCTAAAAGAGCTGCTTGTGCGATTCTCTGTGACCTGCAACCTGGATATTCTCGCCGCGCACCGTTCCCTCGAGCTCTGCCGCCAGTGGACCCAGATGGTCCCTCTCGACCGCACTGCACCGCTCCCAGCCGCCGGCCCCGGCGGGATTCCGCTCAGCCTGGTGGTTTCGCACCCGGTGAGAGGGTTCAAGGTGGATATGAACGACCTGCTGTACTTCACGTATGAGCACGCGTCTACGCTGTCCACCGTGGCGCTCAAGGGAGGCGTGGTGTGCAGCATGTGGGGACCCATGATCGGCCCGCGCGCTGCTGCTGCGGTTTCGCTGCTGCAGAAGCTCAGGCGGGCTCCCACTGATGAGGAGAGCGCCAAGGCTACTGGTGAGGGGGGGTGTTACTGAGTGGGGATGGGACTGGAAGGTAGTGGTTGGGGGGGGGCACGTGGGCATGGGGCCACGGGTTTGTGGGGCAAGGGAATGGGCGTATGGGCGTATGGGCATGGGCATGTGGGCTGGGGACACGGGGAAATGGGCATGCGGGAATGTGTTATGGGGATATGGACATATCCTCATGGGGAAATTCTATGCTGCCTGGAGATCAGGCGATTTTTTTCCAGCCCTCCCCCTCCCTCGCTCCATCCTCCCTTCCCTACCTTCCCTCCGTTCTCTTTTCCCACCAATGCCCCCTTCTCCTTCTCCCTTCCCCCCTCCCCCCACAGGCCTCGGCGGGGCATCAGTGTCAGAAGCAGCAGGGGCAGTGGGAGCATACGAGCAGCTGCTAGTGCTCCTCTTCGACTGCTCGCTCCTTGAGACGTCTCAAAAATCTTCCCCCTCCCCCCACCCCACAGGCCTCGGCGGGGCATCAGTGTCAGAAGCAGCAGGAGCCGTGGGCGCATACGAGCAGCTGCTAGTTCTCCTCTTTGACTGCTCGCTACTCTCAGAGCTCGGGGAAAACACCGACCGGGGCAGCCGGGAAACCGATGCCTTCATAGCAGCGCGCGACGCCACGTGCCGAGAAGCCATCTCCGATTTCCGTCAGGCGGCCCCTGCGAGTGACCGAGTGCACGCGTACATGCTGCTGCTGCGCGTGGTGGGGATTGCCCTCGCGCTCAATGTGGACTATGTGCCGCTCTCCAGCATGTTCCCTCCCAGCCTCCTCACCAGCTTCCCCGCTCTGCGCTCTGAGGTATGACGGGGTTCGGGTATGGCGGGGTTTTGGAATATGGTCGAGGGTTTTTTTGGATTGGGGTGTCCCGGGGTTTGGTTGAGTTTGCGGTGTGTCGGGTATTGTAGAGTTTGGGGTGTGGTGGCGTTCAGGCAGTCGACCCCTGCGAGTGACCGAGTGCACGCGTACATGCTGCTGCTGCGCGTGGTGGGGATTGCCCTCGCGCTCAATGTGGACTATGTGCCGCTCTCCAGCATGTTCCCTCCCAGCCTCCTCACCAGCTTCCCCGCTCTGCGCTCTGAGGTATGGTGGGGTTGAGAGGGTCTGGGATTGGTGGAGTGTTTGGGGTATTGCGGGTGTGGTGGGGCTCGGGGTTTGGTGGGGTTCGAAATGCAAGAATGGACATATACGAGTTTGCTGCGCTGCCTGCGCTGTGATCGTTAAATCACATGCCCATAATATGTGCAAGCATCGCAGCTCTTTAGTCCTTACAACCCGCCTTCACTGCCGAGCCGATCCATTACCTCCCAGCATCCCTCTTCCCTCACCTTCCCTCCTATCCTCCTTCCCAGCGTCTTCAAACTCCTTTTACCCCACTGCCCTCGTAGCGCCCCTTCCTTGGCTTTTGAACACCCGTCTCAAACCCCTTTCCTCCATGCGCTGAATTCCCCTCCTCCCCGCTCTGCTGCGTGCCCTTTCCTTCCATCTCTCCCAGCCACTGTCGGAGGCAGAGGCGACGGTAGACAGCAAGCGCATGGAGGCTCGCCTGCAGTTCCCATTCCACCACCTCCCAGCATCCCTCTTCTCTTCCCTTGCCCTCCCGCCCTGCCCCTCCCGCCCCTCCCTTCCATCCCGCCCAGCCACTGTCGGAGGCAGAGGCGACGGTAGACAGCAAGCGCATGGAGGCTCGCCTGCAGTTCCTGCTAGCAGTCATTCTCGCCCAACACCGCCAGGCTGCTGCTGCCACTGCCGCTGCTGCTGCTGCCACCGCTGCTGCCACTGCCTCTGCTGCCGCCACTGCTGCTGCCGCTGCTGCTGCTGCGACTGCTGCTGCCGAGATGCAGCAACATGCCTTGCTCTCTGCTCCTGAATCGAGCTCAGATGCTGCTGCTGCTGCTGCTGCTGCTGCGGGTGGTGGTGCAGGGGCCGTGCCCCTTGCTGCCCTAGGCCATGAGCCTGGACCATCTGGCATGGGTGATGCCATGGCTATGGGGGGGATGGGTATGGGTGGCATGGGCATGGGTGCTGGCATGGACATGGGTGGTATGGGTCAAGGCATGGGCATGATGGGTATGGGTCCTGGTATGGGCATGTCTCAGGAGATGTACATGGCTCAAGGCATGCACATGGGAATGGGTGCTGGTATGCCTATGGGCGGAGACATGGGCATGGGCATGTATCCTGGCATGGGCATGCATCCGGGCATGGGTATGCATCCGGGCATGGGTATGCATCCTGGGATGGGCATGCACCCTGGTATGGGCATGCACATGGGTGCAGGCATGGGCATGGGTCCTGGAATGGCTCCTGGTATGGGCTATCCTGCAGGTGGGATGGATGGCATGGGCATGAACATGCACATGGGCATGGGTAACATGGGCAACATGGGCAACATGGGCATGGGAGGCATGGGAGGCATGGGAGGCATGGGGGGAATGGCTGGTATGGATCCGACAGGAATTCCCCCAACAGCGCCAGTCCCCCCAGCAGCAGCAGCACCTCCCAAGGCGCACGCGCACAGGCTGCGGGTGTATGAGGCTCGGTACCGAGCCGCATCTGCATTTGCCCTGGCCAATGACCTGGGCGTGCCCCATGATGAGCTGCGGCGCCGCCAGGTGGCACTCAAGTACCTCAAGCAATAGCGCTGTGTGGGTGGACATGGGTGGACATGGGTTTGCATGGGTGTGTGCATATGCATGCACAGCTGGTGCTGAACCTTCTCGAGCCATGGTACTGTGCAGGTGGATATGGGTGTGATATTATATGGGGCGTCCATTACAAGTCCGTAGGCCTGACATGCATACTGTAGTAGCAAGGACTTGTAGTGGCTAGGATGTGTTGGGCAGCACGTAAATGGTGTCTGGTGCTGTTACAGGCTAAACTGCGGAGGCGGTATGTGATGCGAAACACGTAGAAGTTGGCTTGGCTGGTTAGCTGGTTAGGGGGTTTGCTATGGCAGGATAGGCGTGACTCGGTGTGATGCCATCTATGTGGAATCCACTGGACAACAGTATGTAGGGAACTTATCATTTTACATGTGTTTTCATGACCACACTGATAGAATTGAGGGATTGTAAGAGCTTAAAACATACCATGTCATGTCATCATCATCACCACAAGCCACAGAGGCTTGTGGTACGCTATACACCCGTTCACTTATTCTGACCCAGTACCCGTTTCTTGCGGTTGACACAGCACATGCCTCCACCAGAGGGCCGAGCTCTTGGGGAATCTAGCACCCCCGTTAGTTAAGTCCACATAATGAATGCCGAAGCGCCGTGAGTACCCCATGGCCCACTCAAAGTTGTCCACGAGAGACCATGCGAAGTAGCCTCTCACATCTGCCCCGTCCCTGGTGGAGGGGAGGTGATGCATGGGGATAGGGAGGGAAGGGTGGAACAAGGGGGTTGGTATTGGAATTCAAAGATGGGATGATGGTAGGGGGTGCATCGAATGCAGAGTGCTCAAGCATTCGATGCACTCTGCCCTGCTCACTTTGATCAAAGTGCTCCTGACTGTAATCACTCAAGCTCCTGACTGTGATCACTCAAGCTCCTGACTGTGATCACTCAAGCTCCTGACTGTGATCACTCAAGCTCCTGACTGCGATCACTCAAGCTCCTGACTGTGATCACTCAAGCTCCTGACTGTGATCACTCAAGCTCCTGACTGTGATCACTCAAGCTCCTGACTGTGATCACTCAAGCTCCTGACTGTGATCACTCAAGCTCCTGACTGTGATCACTCAAGCTCCTGACTGTGATCACTCAAGCTCCTGACTGTGATCACTCAAGCTCCTGACTGTGATCACTCAAGCTCCTGACTGTGCAGAGCAATCAAAGTGCTCCTCACTGCAGCACCACTGTGTTGTGTGAAAAATGAGAATAGAGCTCCAGAAACGAATGGAGTACACCACACACCTCATGGCATCGGGTTGCGTGATAAGGTGACATAGGGTTGCGTTGCAAGGATGAATTTTGAGACGTCTCAAAACTTGGTTGGCAAAGCGACGTAGGGTTGCAGGGATGTGCTGAACAGTATTGGACGGTTTCGTTCGGTTTGCCTTGGGCATGTGATTGTGCAAGAGGGGATTCACAGTGCGGAAAGAAAGCAAGCAAGGCAAGTAAGGTGAGAAATGCAAGGCGAGTAAGGCAAGATGTAAGGCACACCGTTTTCAGTTATTAGGATGGAAGGGCGGTTGTAGCGCGCTGTGATCCAGTTGAGGAGCTTCGTGAATCTCCATGGCACGACAGCAGCGGGGACAGCTTCGGGGACAGCAGCGGGGACAGCAGCGGGGACACGCACCAGCGATCCTGCTGGTAGTTCGGCCAGCTGAGTGTGCCAGTGGAAGGCGAGCATGACGCTGGCACGGTGCGTGAGGAAGCGGCGCGTGAGGTGAACGCGCCGTTGATACTCCCAAGGCCCGCAAATTCGTAGTGGGAGCTTTACGGAGAAGCAGGGAGCATCTCGCCGCGTCGTTACTACGCCTGAACTAGGATCGACCGTTGACGAGTCCGAATCTAACCGAATCGTCGACGAGTCCAAATCTAAAGGGAAAATTGCCGACCTTTCTCGCTGTCATGGACGCGTAAGCCGCTTCCGCGTCGTACTCTTGTAACGAGTCAGAACCAACGTCCGTTCGTCGGCGTGTATCCTTGTAACGAGGATTGCCTGTGCCCGTAACAAATGCGCGTAATCTGTACGCTCGCGTGCGCCGCGTGGAGTCGACATGAGCGCCGAGAAGGGGAGACAAACAGAGGATATCGGTATCGAGACGAGTCGCCGACGATATCGGACTACCAAATATACATGATCAGGATCGCGCCGATATCAATGAAGTGCAGCGCATAGAATCTGCTGTAAGCCATTGCAGCCAGGTCCCGCAGAGAGTACGGTGCGTTAGGAATATAGTTTAGGAGGCAATATGGAAGTGTGGAACCTTTTTGCAGAAAACTAGCGACAACGTATCACCACTATAAAGTGCATAATTGCTGCGCAATTTGATCACTATCAATTTCAGAGTTAGATGCTCCATACTGATATCAATATTAGACATTGATCCAGTTGAGAGATCTCAGTATCAAATATTCAACCATAAGTTAACTAGAAGTTCCATTTACTGATCTCAGTATCAAATTTGATAGAGAACTACCGTTATTGATAATCTGCTATACTAGCTATGTACTAGATAGTATACTATTGTACTACCCATGCACTGTATGTGTGCATGGGGGGTTCCTCTTGGCCGCAAGGAGCAGAGCTCCTGACGTTACACCCAAGCACCACGGTGAGGTGGGAACCATCGCTTAGGACCCTGTTGGGGGGGGGAGAGAGAGAGAGAAAAAACACAATGCATACTGCCCCGGGGCAGATGAAAATAATCCTCAAAGCAGGTGCTGCCCGTCCTTGAAGCCCAGTCTTGCTGCCCGACCAGCTGTGTAATGTTGCTCACTGCAGCTAGGCTGCTGTGAGGAACAAGAGAAATGGGTTTTGAGGCGTATCCCAAAACCCAGAGTTTGCTCACTGCAGTGAGGAGAACACGAGTTTTGAGACGTCTCCCAAAACTCAGGGACCAGCGGACTGACGGAACGGAAACAGAATGACAAGCTGCAGTGCACTGCAGTAAACAGAACAGAACCGCCACCGGCAGTTCACAGCTGTCTTGAGGCGCCTCAAGAACAGCACACAAGGACCCCACCCCTCACCCCTCACCAACCCGCCTCCCTCCTCCCTCCCGTGTAGCTGCTGCTGCCGCGCCTCCCGCTCTGCAGCCGCCCCCACCAGCTCTCCACTCCGCCTTGGTGTGCCCTGCCATACAGGAATGCAAGAGGGGGATCTAAGGAGAGAAAGATAAGTTGCTGGTGAATATGCGAGCGAAAAGAGAATGCAAAATAAGAAACAAAAAGTGAAACATGCGACAAGGAAACAAAACGCATGCGAAAACAGAGCGGAAATTGGTCCCCTCCCTGAGCCCCATACTCCCTTGTGAAAGAAGGCGATGCTGGTGGCAGCTGCTGCTCCCTCCTCCTCCGCACTCCAACCCGCCTTCCTCCTCCCTCCCGTGTAGCCGCTGCTGCCGCGCCTCCCGCTCTGCAGTACAGGAATGCAAGAGGGGGGGGCTAAGGGAAGAAAGATGAGTGGCTGGACAAGAGAATGCAAAAAACGAAACAGAAATTGAAACATGCGACAAGGAAACGAAAAGCATGCGAAAACAGAGCGGAAATTGGTCCCCTCCCTGAGCCCCATACTCCCCTGTGAAAGAAGGCGCTGCTCGTGACAGCTGCTGCTCCCTCCTCCTCCGCACTCCAACCCGCCTTCCTCCTCCCTCCCGTGTAGCCGCTGCTGCCGCGCCTCCCGCTCTGCAGTACAGGAATGCAAGAGGGGGGGGCTAAGGGAAGAAAGATGAGTGGCTGGACAAGAGAATGCAAAAAACGAAACAGAAATTGAAACATGCGACAAGGAAACGAAACGCATGCGAAAACAGAGCGGAAATTGGTCCCCTCCCTGAGCCCCATACTCCCTTGGGAAAGAAGGCGCTGCTGGTGACAGCTGCTGCTCCCTTCTCCCGTGTAGCTGCCGCTGCCGCGCCGCCCGCTCTGCAGCCGCCCCCACCGGCTCTCCACTCCGTCATGATGCGCGCTGCCATACAGGAATGCAAGAGGGGAATCTAAGGAGAGAAAGATAAGTTGCTGGTGAATATGCGAGTGACAAGAGAATGCAATAAACAAAGCAGATATTGAAACATGCGACAAGGAAACAAAACAAATGCGAAAACAGAGCGAGAAGAATCAGAACATGCGTCAAGGGGGGATCCGTGGAAGGAAAGATAACTTGGTGGTGAGGGTGCAAGGGAAAACAGAATGCAAAACGAAAGCGAAACACGCAACAAGGAAACAAACATTAAGGCAGCCGCTGCTGATGGCACCGCGTTGCACTCCCTCGGACCCTTACTCCCTTCTCAAGGCAGGCGCTGCTGATGGCACCGCACTGCACTCCGTCGGACCCATACTCCCTTCTCAAGGCAGGCGCTGCTGATACTCCCTTTGAAAGGGGTATCAGCAACGAGTGCTGATCAGGAGTGCGTCAAAGGCCAAAAGAGGAGTTAACTGGGAAGAATGAGCTGAAATATGCTTCGGGTGAGTTGAGCAAACGGTGGGACAAGCGGGAGGATGAGAAGCAAAGAGTGGGGTGGCAGCCACCAATCTCAGAACGCATCCAACACACACTTACCGCGGCTCTGCTGGGCAAGAGGGAGAGTGAGAGGAGAGCAATGAGAGGGAGGTCCCACCCCCAATCAAAGTATCACCACTCAGACACACCTTTCTCCCAGCTTTATACTCCCTTCCACATACGACAGCCTCTCCCTCCAAGTACCCCCTCCTTCAGCTTATCCGCCTCTCCTTCTCGCACCTCCACCTCACCCCAAGGGTGCAGGTGGGAGAACACGCAAGGGAACAACGAGCTTCGCTCGCTCCATCCTTGCTCCATCCGCCTCGCCTCGCGTGCCGCCAGCAAGCGGGTGGTCAGCAGGGCGGGTAGGAGGCACCCACATGCCAGTGCCTGCCGGCCGTGCGTCATCCCACCTCTCTCGCTCCTCTCGTTCCATCCGCCGCGCCTTGGGCCCGCGCATGAAAGAGCGTCCGCCCACAGATTGCGCCCACAGATTTCAATCCACCCACGGATTGCGTCTAGCCTCGCCACGCCTCGCCTCGCCTCTCTTAGCCTCGCCTCACTTCGCCTTGCCTCGCCTTGCACTCACATTCAGAGGTCGTAGGAGTTGCACTCACATCCAGAGAAGGCGGACGTAGGAGTTGCACTCACAACCATCGTCGACAAAAACATTAGAGACAAGTAGGCAAACCTGCTGCTGATGCACTCACATCCAGAGAAGGCGGGCCTAGGAGTTGCGTTCACAACCATCGTCGACAAAAACATCAGAGACAAGTAGGCAAACCTGCTGCTGATGCACTCACATCCAGAGAAGGTGTCGGTGCCGCCTCTGTCAAGAGCGTCGGTGATAGATCGAGAGAGAGTGAAGCGGCAAGAGCAAGGAAGCTCAAAGACAAACGACAAGGGCAGCGAGATAGATCGAGAGAGAGAGTGAGGAGGCAAGGGTAAGGAAGCTCAATTGGTTTTGTTGTCGCTGGCAGCTGATTGTTGTCTCGCGTTGAACTGCAGGCCACCGTTGCACCGCCTTCACCGCCCGTGTACTGAGTCAGCCATCCGCCCTCGTCATCCTCCTCACTCCACGCGCCGCGCTCCAAGCGCCTCCTCGCCTCGCTCCATGCGCTTGCATTGCAGCGTCACCCTCGCCCTCGCAAGCGGGTGGTCAGCAGGGCGGGTAGGGCCGGCCGTGCGTCATCCCACCACGCTCGCCCTCCCCTTGCATGCGCGCTGCCCTTCCAAAGAGCAAAGAGAGGCATAGAGGGAAGGAAGATTAGTAGCTGGACAGATGGGTGCACAAGGCACCAAGACAAGCGCGCCTACGGTTTAAAAAAACAAAGCAGAAATTGAAACATGCGACAAGGAAATGAGAAGGATGCGAAAACAGAGCGGAAATTGGTCCCCTCCCTGAGCCCCATACTCCCTTGTGAAAGAAGGCGCAGCTGGTGACAGCTGCTGCTCCCTCCTCCTCCGTACTCCAACCCGCCTCCCTCCTCCCTCCCGTGTAGCTGCTGCTGTCGCGCCTCCCGCTCTGCAGTACAGGAATGCAAGAGCGGGGGGCTAAGGGAAGAAAGATGAGTGGCTGGTGAAGAGAATGCAAAAAACAAAACAGAAATTGAAACATGCGACAAGGAAACGAGACCCATGCGAAAACAGAGCGGAAAATATTCCCCTCCCTGAGCCCCATACTCCCTTCTGAAAGAAGGCGCTGCTGGTGACAGCTGCTGCTCCCTCCTCCTCCGCACTCCAACCCGCCTCCCTCCTCCCTCCCGTGTAGCTGCTGCTGCTGCGCCTCCCGCTCTGCAGTACAGGAATGCAAGAGCGGGGGGCTAAGGGAAGAAAGATAAGTGGCTGGTGAGGAGAATGCAAAAAACAAAACAGAAATTGAAACATGCGACAAGGAAACGAAACGCATGCGAAAACGGAGCGGAAAATGTTCCCCTCCCTGAGCCCCATACTCCCTTCTGAAAGAAGGCGCTGCTGATAACAGCTGCTGCTCCCTTCTCCTCCGCACTCCAACCCGCCTCCCTCCTCCCGTGTAGCTGCTGCTGCCGCGCCGCCCGCTCTGCAGCCGCCCCCACCAGCTCCCCACTTCGCCATGATGCGCGCTGCCATACAGGAATGCAAGAGGGGAATCTAAGGAGAGAAAGATAAGTTGCTGGTGAACATGCGAGTGACAAGAAAATGCAATAAACAAAGCAGAAATTGAAACATGCGACAAGGAAACAAAACAAATGCGAAAACAGAGCGGAAAATGTTCCCCTCCCTGAGCCCCGTACTCCCTTGTGAAAGAAAGATACGTTGGTGGTGAGGGTGCAAGGGAAAACAGAATGCAAAACGAAAGCGAAACACGCGACAAGGAAAAAACGTTATCCTCGGCCCCATCCATACTCCCTTCTCAAGGCAGGCGTTGCTGATGGCACCGCACTGCACTCCCTCGGACCCATCCATACTCCCTTTTCAAGGCAGGCGCTGCTGATGGCACCACACTGCACTCCCTCAGACCCATCCATACTCCCTTCGCAAGGCAGGCGCTGCTGACGGCACCGCACTGCACTCCCTCGGACCCATCCATACTCCCTTCTCAAGGCAGGCGTTGCTGATGGCACCGCACTCCACTCCCTCGGACCCATACTCCCTTCTCATGGCAGGCGCTGCTGATGGCACCGCGCTGCACTCCCTCGGACCCATACTCCCGTCTCAAGGCAGGCGCTGCTGATACTCCCTTTGAAAGGGGTATCAGCAACGAGTGCTGATCAGGAGTGCGTCAAAGGCAAAAGAGGAGTTGACTGGGAAGTATGAGGTGAAGTATGCTTAGGGTGAGTTGAGCAAGCGGTGGGACAAGCGGGAGGATGAGAAGCAAAGAGTGGGGTGGCAGCCACCAATCTCAGAACGCATCCAACACACACTTACCGCGGCTCTGCTGGGCAAGAGGGAGAGTGAGAGGAGAGCAATGAGAGGGAGGTCCCACCCCCAATCAAAGTATCACCACTCAGACACACCTTTCTCCCAGCTTTTTACTCCCTTCCACATACGACAGCCTCTCCCTCCAAGTACCCCCTCCTTCAGCTTATCCGCCTCTCCTTCTCGCACCTCCACCTCACCCCAAGGGTGCAGGTGGGAGAACACGCAAGGGAACAACGAGCTTCGCTCGCTCCATCCTTGCTCCATCCGCCTCGCCTCGCGTGCCGCCAGCAAGCGGGTGGTCAGCAGGGCGGGTAGGAGGCACCCACATGCCAGTGCCTGCCGGCCGTGCGTCATCCCACCTCTCTCGCTCCTCTCGTTCCATTCGCCGCGCCTTGGGCCCGCGCATGAAAGAGCGTCCGCCCACAGATTGCGCCCACAGATTTCAATCCACCCACGGATTGCGTCTAGCCTCGCCACGCCTCGCCTCGCCTCTCTTAGCCTCGCCTCACGTCGCCTTGCCTCGCCTTGCACTCACATTCAGAGGTCGTAGGAGTTGCACGCAGATCCAGAGGAGGCGGACGTAGGAGTTGCACTCACATCCAGAGAAGGTGGGCCTAGGAGTTGCGTTCACAACCATCGTCGACAAAAACATCAGAGACAAGTAGGCAAACCTGCTGCTGATGCACTCACATCCAGAGAAGGCGGACGTAGGAGTTGCGCTCACAACCATCGTCGACAAAAACATCAGAGACAAGTAGGCAAACCTGCTGCTGACGCACTCACATCCAGAGAAGGCGGGCCTAGGAGTTGCGTTCACAACCATCGTCGACAAAAACATCAGAGACAAGTAGGCAAACCTGCTGCTGATGCACTCACATCCAGAGAAGGTGTCGGTGCCGCCTCTGTCAAGAGCGTCGGTGATAGATCGAGAGAGAGCGAAGCGGCAAGAGCAAGGAAGCTCAAAGACAAACGACAAGGGCAGCGAGATAGATCGAGAGAGAGAGTGAGGAGGCAAGGGTAAGGAAGCTCAATTGGTTTTGTTGTCGCTGGCAGCTGATTGTTGTCTCGCGTTGAACTGCAGGCCACCGTTGCACCGCCTTCACCGCCCGTGCACTGAGTCAGCCATCCGCCCTCGTCATCCTCCTCACTCCACGCGCCGCGCTCCAAGCGCCTCCTCGCCTCGCTCCATCCGCTTGCATTGCAGCGTCACCCTCGCCCTCGCAAGCGGGTGGTCAGCAGGGCGGGTAGGGCCGGCCGTGCGTCATCCCACCACGCTCGCCCTCCCCTTGCATGCGCGCTGCCCTTCCAAAGAGCCAAGAGAGGCATAGAGGGAAGGAAGATCAGTAGCTGGACAGATGGGTGCACAAGGCACCAAGACAAGCGCGCCTACGGTTTAAAAAAACAAAGCAGAAATTGAAACATGCGACAAGGAAACGAAAAGCAGAAATTGAAAGCATGCGAAATTGGTCCCCTCCCTGAACCCCATACTCCCTTGTGAAAGAAAGCGCTGCTGGTGACAGCTGCTGCTCCCTCCTCCTCCGCACTCCAACCCGCCTCCCTCCTCCCTTATGTAGCTGCTGCTGCCGCGCCGCCCGTTCCGTCATGATGCGCGCTGCCATACAGGAATGCAAGAGGGGAATCTAAGGAGAGAAAGATAAGTTGCTGGTGAACATGCGAATGACAAGAAATTGCAATAAACAAAGCAGAAATTGAAACATGCGACAAGGAAACAAAACAAATGCGAAAACAGAGCGGAAAATGTTCCCCTCCCTGAGCCCCGTACTCCCTTGTGAAAGAAAGATACGTTGGTGGTGAGGGTGCAAGGGAAAACAGAATGCAAAACGAAAGCGAAACACGCGACAAGGAAAAAACAAGAATACAAGAAACAAAAAAACGTTATCCTCGGCCCCATACTCCCTTCTCAGAGCAGGCGTTGCGGATGGCACCGCACTGCACTCCCTCGGACCCATCCATACTCCCTTTTCAAGGCAGGCGCTGCTGATGGCACCGCACTGCACTCCCTCGGACCCATACTCCCTTCTCAAGGCAGGCGCTGCTGATGGCACCGCACTGCACTCCCTCGGACCCATCCATACCCCCTTCTCAAGGCACGCGCTGCTGATGGCACCACACTGCACTCCCTCGGACCCATACTCCCTTCTCAAGGCAGGCGCTGCTGATGGCACCGCACTGCACTCCCTCGGACCCATACTCCCTTCTCAAGGAAGGCGCTGCTGATGGCACCGCACTGCACTCCCTCGGACCCATAATCCCGTCTCAAGGCAGGCGCTGCTGATACTCCCTTTGAAAGGGGTATCAGCAACGAGTGCTGATCAGGAGTGCGTCAAAGGCAAAAGAGGAGTTAACTGGGAAGTATGAGGTGAAGTATGCTTAGGGTGAGTTGAGCAAGCGGTGGGACAAGCGGGAGGATGAGAAGCAAAGAGTGGGGTGGCAGCCGCCAATCTCAGACCGCATCCAACACACACTTACCGCGGCTCAGCTGGGCAAGAGGGAGAGTGAGAGGAGAGCAATGAGAGGGAGGTCCCACCCCCAATCAAAGTATCACCACTCAGACACACCTTTCTCCCAGCTTTTTACTCCCTTCCACATACGACAGCCTCTCCCTCCAAGTACCCCCTCCTTCAGCTTATCAGCCTCTCCTTCTCGCACCTCCACCTCACCCCAAGGGTGCAGGTGGGAGAACACGCAAGGGAACAACGAGCTTCGCTCGCTCCATCCTTGCTCCATCCGCCTCGCCTCGCGTGCCGCCAGCAAGCGGGTGGTCAGCAGGGCGGGTAGGAGGCACCCACATGCCAGTGCCTGCCGGCCGTGCGTCATCCCACCTCTCTCGCTCCTCTCGTTCCATCCGCCGCGCCTTGGGCCCGCATGAAAGAGCGTGCGCCCACAGATTGCGCCCACAGATTTCAATCCACCCACGGATTGCGTCTAGCCTCGCCACGCCTCGCCTCGCCTCTCTTAGCCTCGCCTCACGTCGCCTTGCCTCGCCTTGCACTCACATTCAGAGGTCGTAGGAGTTGCACGCAGATCCAGAGGAGGCGGACGTAGGAGTTGCACTCACATCCAGAGAAGGCGGGCCTAGGAGTTGCGTTCACAACCATCGTCGACAAAAACATCAGAGACAAGTAGGCAAACCTGCTGCTGATGCACTCACATCCAGAGAAGGCGGGCCTAGGAGTTGCGTTCACAACCATCGTCGACAAAAACATCAGAGACAAGTAGGCAAACCTGCTGCTGATGCACTCACATCCAGAGAAGGTGTCGGTGCCGCCTCTGTCAAGAGCGTCGGTGATAGATCGAGAGAGAGCGAAGCGGCAAGAGCAAGGAAGCTCAAAGACAAACGACAAGGGCAGCGAGATAGATCGAGAGAGAGAGTGAGGAGGCAAGGGTAAGGAAGCTCAATTGGTTTTGTTGTCGCTGGCAGCTGATTGTTGTCTCGCGTTGAACTGCAGGCCACCGTTGCACCGCCTTCACCGCCCGTGTACTGAGTCAGCCATCCGCCCTCGTCATCCTCCTCACTCCACGCGCCGCGCTCCAAGCGCCTCCTCGCCTCGCTCCATGCGCTTGCATTGCAGCGTCACCCTCGCCCTCGCAAGCGGGTGGTCAGCAGGGCGGGTAGGGCCGGCCGTGCGTCATCCCACCACGCTCGCCCTCCCCTTGCATGCGCGCTGCCCTTCCAAAGAGCAAAGAGAGGCATAGAGGGAAGGAAGATTAGTAGCTGGACAGATGGGTGCACAAGGCACCAAGACAAGCGCGCCTACGGTTTAAAAAAACAAAGCAGAAATTGAAACATGCGACAAGGAAATGAGAAGGATGCGAAAACAGAGCGGAAATTGGTCCCCTCCCTGAGCCCCATACTCCCTTGTGAAAGAAGGCGCAGCTGGTGACAGCTGCTGCTCCCTCCTCCTCCGTACTCCAACCCGCCTCCCTCCTCCCTCCCGTGTAGCTGCTGCTGTCGCGCCTCCCGCTCTGCAGTACAGGAATGCAAGAGCGGGGGGCTAAGGGAAGAAAGATGAGTGGCTGGTGAAGAGAATGCAAAAAACAAAACAGAAATTGAAACATGCGACAAGGAAACGAGACCCATGCGAAAACAGAGCGGAAAATATTCCCCTCCCTGAGCCCCATACTCCCTTCTGAAAGAAGGCGCTGCTGGTGACAGCTGCTGCTCCCTCCTCCTCCGCACTCCAACCCGCCTCCCTCCTCCCTCCCGTGTAGCTGCTGCTGCTGCGCCTCCCGCTCTGCAGTACAGGAATGCAAGAGCGGGGGGCTAAGGGAAGAAAGATAAGTGGCTGGTGAGGAGAATGCAAAAAACAAAACAGAAATTGAAACATGCGACAAGGAAACGAAACGCATGCGAAAACGGAGCGGAAAATGTTCCCCCCCCTGAGCCCCATACTCCCTTCTGAAAGAAGGCGCTGCTGATAACAGCTGCTGCTCCCTTCTCCTCCGCACTCCAACCCGCCTCCCTCCTCCCGTGTAGCTGCTGCTGCTGCTGCACTCACTTGATGTTGCTCCTGATGTCCCAGAAGGGTGGTGTTCCAGAATCCGCAAGGTAAATCAATAGAATCCGCGAGGTAAATCAATAGAATCCGCGAGGTAAATCAATTGAGAGAGAGAGCAAAGAAGCGGGGTTAGGGAACTCAGTGGGAGGCGCTGTCGACTGCAGGCCAGCCTCGTTGAACCGCCTTCACCGCCTCCCTCCACCAGCAGCACCGCCTCCTCGCCCTCGCACCGCCCTCGCAAGCGGGTGGTCAGCAGGGCCCGGC